TTTAGTTCAAAATAAATAAAAAATTAGCGGTATAAAAAGAAAAAACTCGCTACGAGTCTATTTCATATCCTTTCTTTGGTTTGCAACGTCGCGAGCACATACATATGTATGTATGTATTTGTGTAATCGCGCTTGCCAGAATGTAAAAATATGAAATAAATTTAAACAAAAAAGTATTTAACCGCTTCGTAATTGTTACCAATTCGGCTATATTTCATTCGGAGTATGGTTCTAATAAACTAGTACTCTTTCTAACCAGTTTAATATTTCACTGCAAATACATATTGCATGCGTTTCTTGTCAAGGTAATTTGCAGATTTTTCGTTTTTACATACATACGTACATATATACGTAAGTATGTTTATATTTACATGTTCTTACTAGTTTGACCTTCACACGGACCGCACACGATTGTTGCACTCACTTTTCAACGTCAACTATAACACAAAACACATAAGTAACACGTGCATGACAAACTGAGAGAGGAGGAAAAAAAATTTAAATAAGATATAATTTCAACACCAAATTTCCAATTGTAATTCAAATATTCTAACGATTTAAGTAGCTATTTATATATATAATTAAATTGTTGTTAAACGCCAGCTGTCACAGCCAAATTATAAACAAATAGCGGCAAAACAAACGCATATACATACATACATATGTGCTTCATACATACAAATATACTTCCACCATCTTCCCAATCAATCGAAAATATGTACATATGTATGTATGTACGAAGAAAAACATTTTATTTATATACTTGCGCTATTAGCGTTGTGTGAAAAGTATTTTTTCACAGCTTTTATCATAGAAAAATAAAGCAAAAAACAACAATATATTGGCAGTTAATTGAATTAGACAAAATAAATATGTACATATATATGTACATATGTGCATATATATTTAATGATAATTACTCGCGTACACAAAAGAAATCTTTTGCTTTGAATTCCTCGGCTAAAAATCGCTTCAGCTGTTACAAAGCGCCAACAGATTTACACACTGACATACTCGTATGTATATGTATACGTAAAGAATCACTATTTGACGTATATATGCATATATATGCATGTAGGTACTTATAGGAACATACATATTTACTTTTCACTACATTGTTTTGGCAAAAACATACATTCGAGCACTTCGCACTTCGCACTTTGCCGAAAAATGAAACTGGCCGCATATAACAACAGCCGATGAATGCAATGTTACGCCAAATGGGCAGCAAGCCAATTTGATTTGAAGAAAAACAGTTTAGTTACGCGAAGAAAATGTAATAATAGTTTAGTAAATCAAAATAACAAGCAATTGTTCTACCATTGACGTAAAACAGCATGACAGGTCGAAAATATAATATACAGTTGCATGTCTCATACGAGCACTAACAATAACGGCGACACGAATTTGACACTATTCGTGCAAATGTTGATGGGCAATGCAGTGTTGCATTCTCTGCAAATTATTCATGTTAACTAAAATAAAAACAAATCAAAAATGTACACGTAAGGCGTTGAATGAATTAAAATTAAAAAAAAATGAGAAGAAACTAAATCGAAATCCCATGAAAATAAATTAAAAACAGATTCAGCACAGGAAATTGAAGGGAAATAATATAAAAGTGAGCGCTACACACAAATTTTTTATCCACACACAACACACACACACACATATATAAGCATGTGGTTTGCTATGAAAATTGCTTTGACCTCCTATCAGGAAACAAAGTCACTGCTCCGCATAGAATATTTTAGTAGAATATTCCAAGTTGCAACAAGCGAAATATTGCAGCAACAGCGACATGACCTACACTCAGCTTAGTCGATAATGGCGCACAAACAACAAAACGTATGGTGAGAGTGTATGGTGTTCTGCAGCAGCAGCGTGTCGTAACAAAAATCGCAAAGGCGGCAAAAAATTAGCAGAATTCGCACAGAATTAGGCAACTGCTAGACTCCTCTTTTCTATTTTTGTAGAAATCAACAGATTTGCTCTACTCGTCTCGCGCTCTCGTCGTGTGTACGTGCCGAAAGTCACGCATGTCGCAAACGTCATTGAGGTCGCCGCACTTGCCACGAAGGGGTGGAAATAACAGTTATTGGGGGATGTCGGAAAAACTAGCCAACACATACATATAAATATATGTCACTGGAAGTGGCGCTTACTTTGCAGCGTACGAGTATGTTACCAAAAGAGCGTGCGTAGTAATTTCCAATGCAGCAGCAAGCGGCACTTGTGGTCTAATCTTGTTCGGAAAGCTTTCCAATAAGTCTTTACATACATTTTTATTTACATATATTCAACTCAAGGGCACTAGCACGAGCACGAGCACTGCTAGTCAGCTGACTGGCGTTTAGAGAGTTTTTTGGGTAATATACATATGTATGTATGTATTAAAAAATATAGCCAAACCCAACATCGAACTCAGTTTCGTTTAATAGTTTGCTATAAGAGCTCGTGTTGATGTATGAAAGTAGTCCAGCACTGCTCAGTCTTCAAGCAGCCACCTCTACACCTGTCACAATGCTTATTTTTGAGTTTACCTACATACAAACATACATATTACCAAATATTTTCCAAGAGCGCAGCAAGGGAGAGACAGAGAGCGAATAGTAGTGAGCGATAAAGAAAGTTAAAAATATGTAAATTATGCAAAATTCGGCTTAGATGCCGGCTGCACAGCGGTGACGGGGCAGCCGAGACACACACGCGTCTGCAGCGTATAAAATAAAACAACTTTCACTTCAAATACAGAATCAAAACAGAAAACCATAAATGTTATTCACCTCCAGCCAAGCTAATGGCGAAAAAAAGATATAAAATTTGTGTAATATTTCTGTTTTCAATATTTTTTTTCCCGTTTTTTTTTTTCATTTTTAATATCTCTCATTTATTGTTGCGCTGTGTGCACTTTAAACGAGCGCCTTTGTGAGACTCCGGTTAACCCGCATGTAAATTGGTTTAATTATTTTTAATTATAAAATATTATCTTCGTATATAATTTTCGTCCCTCCCCTCACTCAGTCGTGTTGGTGCCAAGCGGTAAATAACATTTAATAACAACTTCAAGTGCCGAAAATGAGCGAAGCCTCAAGACATGCGACATGCCATATTTAATAATTTATTTGTTGGAAAAGTGGAACATTTGTTGCTTTAGTTCCCATGCAAGTGGTCAAGGTAGCTCCTTACCAAAAACAGAAAAAAAGCTGCAAAATGTTATTTTATGGGCAGCCGCGGTAGCCAAGCTGAGGGTAATGAGCTCGAATCCGCGCCGGTGTTTTAAGAGAAAGCTGTTTCACAAATCTATACGTCATCAAAGTCTGGTAGAACAAGGCTGGTGTACATATTTTTGCATGCGAAAATATTTTCTTCCCACAAAAACCTTCAGACGTGTGGAGCCGGCTCACAACAATACGTTCCAAGCTAGCTCGTAGCAGGCACACCTAGAATTGGTGCAGCAGCGCGGCCGAAAATCCCGTGTGTGTCAACATTTTAATATTGCCGCGTGACCCCGAATTCTGGAACACCTGAAGTAGCTAGCAGCCGCCGAAAAAAAAATACAAAATTTCAAAAGGACACGAAATTTTAAAATTAGTTCAAGCGTACGCCTTCAACCGTACGGTCGCTGCTTTAAGAAGTCGAAATACAAAAAGACATTTTCCTACCAACGCCATGGCGGAAGAGCACGACCTAAGCACAACTGCAAAGCACACAACCAAAACGCTGTGCTTCCACGGTGCTTGGGCTTGGATTATACAGTTATTCTTGATATTTTTCCTCACATTTGTCATACTATATACGGTGCGTAAAATCAAGGAGGGTCCATACTATCGCAAGCGTAATCGCATCGACGAGAAAGTCGTTATCATAACTGGCTGCGAGTCGGGTATCGGCAAGGCGCTAGCGCTGGAGTTGGCTCAACGTGGCGCACGCATTTATATGGCCTGTCGCGATGCTACGCTTTGTGAGGCCACACGCTTGGAGCTTATCGAACGCACGGGCAATCAGCAAATCTTTAACCGTACACTCGATCTCGCTTCGCTGGAGTCGGTGCGTCAATTTGCAGCACGTTTCAGAGCCGAAGAGCAACGTTTGGATATTTTAGTGAATAATATGTCTGTTCTGACTATGACACGCGCGCTCACCGCGGACGGTTTTGAGTGGCAATTCGGTGTAAATCATCTAGGACACTTTCTACTCACCAATCTACTACTCGAGCGGCTTAAAACCGCAGCACCGAGTCGCGTGGTGGTATTGAGCTCTTTTATGCATCTCTTCGGACGCATCAACAGGGATGATTTGCACAGTGAGCTGCGTTATGCGAAAATTTTCGGCGCCTATAGTAACAGTAAATTGGCTAACATACTTTTCACGCGTAAGCTCGCCAAAATACTCGATGGCACGAACGTGACAGTGAACTGTTGCAATCCAGGTTTTGTGCATACCGCATCGATCGTTGCTGATCAAAAACCCGCCTGGCTATGGTTTATTGCCGATAAGCTTCTCAGCTGGGTAGCGCGTACGCCACGTGCAGGCGCACAAACTGCGCTGCGTCTAGCACTCGATCCGACATTGGAGCGTACATCGGGCGGCTACTACTCGTACTACATTAAATGGCCGCTGCCACCGTGGGCAACCAACAAAAAAATGGCGGACTGGTTGTGGCGCGAGAGTGAGAAGCTGGTGGGCATAAGCACAAGTGAACGCATCGAGACCATTGCAGTGTGAGCAGGAGCTGGTTCAGGAGTTGAAGAGGATGAGTTGACTGGTGTGCTAAGCAGAAGATTGCAGCTCCTCGCTGGTTTTTGGTGCATTTAAATGATGATTGTATAAATTATTTTTGCTTAGTAACATTTTAAACCGTTAAAAAGCTTTTACCTCAAACATAAAGTATCAGCGTTAATAAAAATCTATATGTATCTACTCTAAAGCTTCACAAGTCTTTCTTAATTTAAGTGCTAATTAAGCGCGCACCCAGCACCGCCGTTACTTGGGAGTACCACACTTTGTTTGTGTGCGACAGTGGCATAGACTCCGTCCGAGCTGCAGCTCTAAGCGGCAGCCAAAGACCGCAACCGTAGAAGGAAAACTGGTATTTTTCTGTTTTTTTTTTTTCTTTTTGCATTTATTTCTGTTTCTGTTTTTATTCGTATCTCCATTATGCCATCTTAACTGTTATTGCTCCACACACTACGGCGCAGGCGATTAGTGCTCGCCAGCTCTTGGCTGTTGTAGGCAGTGTGCCAGCCCGGTTATTAAAAGAAAGAAAGCCACGAAATTACGACGCAGCGAAGCGAAATTCGAAAGCGACTATTAAAATTCGAACATACTAAGCGGACGAAGTCAACTACTGACTGTAAGTGGTGTACTGATGTGACTGACAGTGGAGTTTGTAGTTGGTCGGTTAGTTGTCTGTAACGGTGCCGAAAAGAAAGTTGTTTGTTGGTAAATAGCGCAACAACGCAACAACGCGAAATCTTGCATTGTCTTGGTCAAATTATAGTTCGTTATTTCGCTATACAAACTCAAACTCAACGCGTACGACTATGCCGGATGAGCTGCCGCACCCACTGCTGCAAGAAGACGAGGAGCAATCATTGTGTTTTCGCGGTCCTTGGGCTTGGCTGGTGCTCATACTCATCTGTTGCATTGGCATCGGTTTGATCATGTGGCTGTTTCGAAAGTGCGTACAGGGTCCATACTACCGCAAGAAGACGCGTATCGATGGCAAGGTGGTTATTGTCACCGGCTGTAATACGGGCATCGGCAAGGAGACAGCTTTGGAGTTGGCGCGTCGTGGTGGACGCATTTATATGGCTTGTCGCGATGCCGCGCGTTGTGAAGCCGCCAGACTGGAGATCATCGAACGTACACAAAATCAAAATGTCTTCAATCGCACACTAGACTTGGCATCGCTCTCGTCGGTGCGTCAGTTCTCCGAACGTTTCTTGGCCGAAGAGCAACGCTTGGATATACTCATAAACAATGCCGGCATAATGGCCACACCGCACAAACTCACCGTCGACGGCTTCGAACAACAGTTTGGCGTCAATCATTTGGGTCACTTTTTGTTGACAAACTTGCTGCTGGAACGTTTGAAATCCAGCGCACCCAGTCGCATTGTGGTTGTCTCTTCCGCCGCTTACATCTGTGGGCGCATCAACAAAGATGACTTGAATAGCGAGAAGCATTACTCGAAATTTCTGGGCGCCTATTGTCAGAGCAAATTGGCAAATATACTCTTCACGCGCAAGCTCGCCGAGTTGCTGAAGAACAGCGGCGTTACCGTCAATTGTGTGCATCCGGGCATTGTGCGTACGGAATTGGGACGCTATAGCATCGCCACGCACTGGTTCAATGCGATTTGGTTGCGCGTTTTCGGTTGTTTCGTGAAAACGCCCAAAGCGGGCGCGCAGACGTCATTGCGTGTTGCGCTAGATCCGGCGTTGGAGAAGTGCAGCGGTGAATTTTACGCAGACTCGATGCGTTTTCCGTTATTATCGAAGGCGAAGGACAAAGAGATGGCGGATTGGTTGTGGCAGGAGAGTGAAAAACTGGTGGGTTTACAGCGTGAGAATGCGGTGCAGACGATAGTGGTAAATCAGTGAGCGAACAAGTGGCAGCTGATTAATGGAAGTTTAATGAGTGAGAGTAGAAAAGGATTTTTATCCGAAACAGCCGTCCAGCATTTCCTTATATACAGTTAGTTTTTAAGTCTCTCAAGTGTTTCTACACATGCATATGAATAAAGTGAAATTTAACGAAAATTTTTGGAGCCCAAAGGTATTTTTGATTTTCATTTCTTTTTTTATGTTTAAAATTCTTATCCGAATTTCTATGAGAAACTTGTTGTTGGACTTACAGACGGTTTCAAAACCGAAGCACACTCATGTAGTACCGGAAGTACGTGTATACCCGACAAGTGATGTCTAGAGAATACCGAGTTTAAGGTGGGAACCCTTCTGCAGTTTGTTGAATTGATGTGAAGATCCCCTTTCTCGTTCTAACATGCAAATCCGATTGGTTTCTCTTCATCTCTCTTTAACATTCCCATACTGTTTACCTTGCGGTCGATCGGAACGATGAGGGGTAGACCGTCTTTATTCTTTCCATTGCGGCATGGCCTTGTTAAAAGGAAGAAAGGATGAATCCGTCCCACAGTACTCTTAAAACGTTTTGTTGATGAGTGCTCTCAGAGAGCAGGAGTTCAAGTCGAGTTGAAAACTGCTTAGTTGTCCGCTGTGGTCTTAGCTTTTCATCGTCGAACCTTCCAAGTGTTTGTTACACAGTCTGAAAATGCGTAGTCCGATGGTAGAACCTCGGAGAGTAAGCACAAGTAAAACACTGTTAAAGAACTTCGCTTTGGCGGGGATTGTGGTTAAATGTTCATCCAGGTTAATGACGGAGTCTCTCTCCTACCATGAATCTGATACTAAATATGCGCAAGTCACAAGGGCTTATCATTTTTCATCCTTGCTCCGTCCAACGCATCTTCTTTATAACTGTGAATTCAGTCTTCTGGGCAGCTCCAATACAGGGACCAGATATTCCAAATGTACGTAAGTTCTCAAGTCGTAGTCCATTTGCCGGGGTCGTCTACTTTTGATGACTCATCAGAGGTGAGTGTCACTTTTTCATTGGAGCTGGTTATTTACGTGGCGAATCCCGAAACCAGTGCACAACCTCCCTGCACGAGTGAGTACAAATTGAGACACAATTATGTAGCGAACCGGTTGCAGTCAGACCGACGCCCGCTCGCAGTCGCACTTTTGGCGAACAAACACTGTATTTGGACTACAGCAGACCCTTAAACCGCATACGTAGGAGTTGCACTCGTGAAGTCTTATTTAGACGCGACACATAGCTCCACATGGGTTGGTTGCCATATGTAGCACAAGGTTTGTCACGAGGAGATTATTTAACGTATTACAGCTTTCATCGGCCTCAATAAACGACGCGCCATTGGTTCTTCTATTTTTCCCAGAAGGAATGTGAAAGCGAGGCAAATGGGTTTGATGGTGAAGAAGTACAAGATGAAACATCTGCTATCGTCAAACAAACATCGAAGCATACTCGCGTCTTGGCTCCAGCGTCACAGTTCACAGTCTTAACTTCGAAGTCCGAGTTAATTTCGTCAATCCCGAGGACAAATTCGTCTATCAGTAAAAGGACTGTAGCTCTGTGGAAGCCGAAGTTGGAAAGATCAACTGAAGAAGGAGCTGGTCTCACTTGCTATCTGCAATTGGCGCCTTGCGATGAAGAGACGGACGGTGGCGGCCATCAATTAGGAAAAAAGAGACAAATTTCGCACGCTCTCTCATTGTTTTTTGGTGAGCAAGGCAGTGCTGCGATATTTATTTTTTTTATTTTTTGCTGCGGTTATCACTTTTTCACTACTTCCTCCACTGACATTGAACTCATTTCGACGTACTTATGTATGAATGTATTTATGACGACGCTTGGTTATCATCTGCGTGTTCTGACCGGACCGCTTGTAGGGTAACGCGTCTCAGAACTGATCAAGTTCTGCTGCTGCGAGCCGCATTAATTGTACGAAAGCTGATCATAACAAAACTAAATGTATGTAATTATATGGGTGTTTGTATGTATATGTTTAAACGTAAGCTATTTTGTATGCAGCGGAGAAGTTCATGGCGAACCGGTTGCCAGCAACGATCTTGCATTGGCATTGACGTTTAATTGCGAGTACAATTATATGGGTACCTATGTATGTGTGTGCATTGCGTTGCCAACACTAACACAGTTAGCATGACAGGAATACTAAGTATGTAAGTCGGCGTAGTAGAAAATGTTTGACGAAGCCAGTGAAGTGACTTCATGCTCAAGCGCAAGCTCAGTAGCAGTTCTAGTGGCAACTTCTCAGTCGTCGCTGCACAACACTGGCGCGCTAAACAAGCCTCAGGTTCTTTGCACACTTTCGGCTGCAAATACTAAATTGAAACCAGTTCGGCAGCGTGAGGCAACGCCGCATTGTTGTTTACACGCTACATTTAGCAACTGCTGCAGCGGAAGCCAACAGCTGTCTTTAATGTACACATTCAAATTCGAAAGTCGGCCGAAATATTTGGGCTAACATTTGCCTTTGCCGCCAACGTACGACGCCCGCCGTATAGGGCCACTACTGCAGCCACTTTCACCACGAGGCCAAAACGGCGTACGGCGGAGCAGTTAGTTGGTACAAGCTTACTGGGCCCGAGCACGGAGTGTGCATGTGGGTATGTGCAGGCTGTTTGTTGTTGACTTGTCAAGTTAGCATTTATCAGCGAGTGAGGAAAATACGCAGCGTCGAGAGTGATTTGTGAGTTGGAAATCAGTTTAAGCTCGTCATTGAAGACGCAAGGTACGCGCATTGTATAAACAAAGTTATTATTTACACGCGTTTATTTATTTATAGAACTACACGCACAAACGCACACTAACACAAACACACGCGCACTAATTGCAACGATGTCAGATAACGACGACGAGAAATTGTGTTTCTATGGCATCTGGGCGCGACTCTTGCCTCTCGCCTTTATCGCCTGCGCGGTGGTGTTGTTCTTATGGCTGCTACGCAAATTCATACAGGGTCCACGTTATCGCAAACCGAATCGCATAGATGGCAAAGTGGTTATTGTGACCGGCTGCAATACGGGCATCGGCAAGGCGACCGCTTTGGAGCTGGCGCGTCGCGGTGCACGCATCTATATGGCCTGTCGTGATGCGGTGCGTTGCGAGGCGGCACGTCTAGAAATAATCGAGCGCACAGGCAATCAGCATGTCTACAATCGTACGCTGGATCTCGCTTCGTTGGCGTCGGTGCGCCAATTCGCTACACGCTTTCTGGGCGAGGAGCAGCGGCTGGATATTTTGGTGAACAATGCTGGCATTATGGCTACGCCACGCAAACTCACCGTCGACGGTTTCGAACAGCAGTTGGGCGTTAATCATTTGGGACACTTTTTATTGACAAACTTGCTGCTGGAACGCTTGAAATGCAGCGCACCCAGCCGTGTAGTGGTCGTCAGCTCTGCTATGTACCTTTTTGGACGCATCAAACGCAATGATCTGAATAGCGAACGCAGTTATTCGAGCTTTTTCGGCGCATATTCGCAAAGTAAGTTGGCGAATGTTTTGTTTACGCGCAAATTAGCTGAGTTGCTGCACGGCACGGGCGTCACGGTGAATTGCTGTCATCCCGGCGTGGTGCGCACTGAGTTGGTACGACACATAAAGTTTCCCGGTTTCGGCTTACTACACTATTTGGTGCAGTTCTTCTGGAAATCGCCGGAGGATGGCGCACAAACGCAACTACGTTTAGCGCTCGATCCGGCGTTGGAGCAATGCAGTGGTGGGTACTACAGCGACTCGTTGCGTTTGCCTGTTATGCCGTGGGCGAGTAATAAAGATACAGCCGATTGGTTATGGGCGGAGAGCGAGAAATTGGTGGGTCTGCGGGAGAGTGTGAAGCGCAATGAAATGGAAACGGTGACGGTGACAGTGACGTCGCCTTAGTGAGCGGTAGAAATAAATTTAAATATTTTTTTACACAACTTTTTTATATGATAGCGGTAAATTGTGCTTGGTGAATAAGTGAAAATAAAAATAGAAATTAAAAAAAATAAAACAAAATAAAAAATAAATTTTAAAAAACTTGTTTTTGTTTAGTTGGCAAACCGCCGGCACACACTTGTTCCCCTTTACATATTTAACCGGCGGCGCACACCCACCCATCGCTAACCGACAGAGCTTTCAGTTGGTTGCTCATTGCGCTCTACGACAAATTTGATTTTTCCACTTTTTCTGTTTGCGTTATGTACGCGCTTAGCGCTTCTTTTTTGTGCGTCAATACAAGGAGTTTTCGTAGGTACACAAAACGCGCGTTTAAATAGATATTTGTTTTCTCTACAAACATCCATATACACATATACAAATATTTATGCTGATTTTTGTTTATTTATTTATTTATTTTTTGTATGTTTGCGTGTGTGTATTATTTGTTTACATTTTGCTCTGCCAAAGTATTTTCTATTTATACGAAAAACCGATTATCTCGCTGTTTGTATGTTTGTATGCATAAAAGTCATTGATAGAGGCTGGACTAAAAATATTTAGTTGATAAAAACTCTTTCAGCGCTGATTCAGCGCTTTTACATAAAAAAAAATCACTTCCAATAATAGAAAAAAATCAAATTAGGCACATTAGCACTTTTTTTTATAATTAACCACTGACAGCTGCAAAGCACCGCTTGGCTGCCCACCATCAACGCTGACGTTTTTCAATTAACCACTTACCTACAAACTTGTACACAAAAGTAAGATAAATATGGCATCACATGCACTTTGCACTCAATCGACTATTTATTATTTATTATTCATATGCTGCCGATGTGTCACGACGCCAGTTGGCGCGACGACGTATAGTCCAACGGCTATTTATTTAAATTATGTCCACTAAGCTGTCTGCAATCGAAGCTATGCATATATTGAGCCACTCAACGCCACTTATCTCGGGTTCAACCACAAACAAATTCGCACTTACTTACATATGTACATACATATGTATGTAAATATGTACTTACTCATTTATCAACTACAAAGTGTCCGCGTGTGACAGGTGGATGAGGTGGTGGAGATGTTTGCGAAAGTTTACACTCACTATCAAGGGATTATATGCAGCTGTGGACGACAAATGACACTCAAGGGCTGTAAGGTTAATTTTGCAAATTTGTTGGTTGGTAGCTCTATGTATTTTTATGTACATAAATGACACTAATTTGTATTGAAGATATTTTTATTAAGTTTTGACACTTAAAGTTCAATGTTAACGCATTTTTTACAACGTGAAATGCTTCTCAGGTCAAACAAATGATGGCACATAATTTTGCATAATCGATAAGCCGCATATCGATTAATCTTACTATAGGTAAATAGAAAATTTATTCAGAGGTAATTTCAGTCGAATATCTAATTTTTAATTTATATATTATTAATTAGTGAAAATGTTCAGTTTAAGTTAAATTGAAATTATATTTCATTGCTGAGACGAAAAAAAAAATAATATTAAAAGTTTTTTATTAAAATTAAAAATGTTGATCATATGTTTGCTCGCTTAAATTAAAGCAGTCAATATTATATTAATATACAAAGATTATTTTTTATAAATATTAAATACCGCTATATCACACAGCATACATACATACATACATATATAAAGAATTTTAAATAATTATTTGTAGAAACACCCGTCGAATGGGAGTTGATGTGTGAAAACAAGATGCAGACGGGAGAAACGTGAGACCGATAGTTCATATAAAGAACTTGAGAAACTGACCGATAGAGGTAATGTATTCTATAATAACATGCGTCGACTTTGGAAAGAGTTTAATGCCGAAATAGGAAACAGGAACAAATGGAGTGATCTAGGGACCGATGTGTCAAGTTTACAGTGCTTATGGAGGGAAAGACTTCACTCTCCTAATGAAATAAGGCAATAAGCACAACATTGGCGATAATGAGCCGAATCACACAGCATAAACTTACGGTTATGTTGAATTATAAATAAATAAATTGCTTGCGTGAAAACCAGCAAATGAGGTAGTGTTGTTGGGTAACCAACTGAGCGCCGAAAGGCATATCTACGAAAAGGCGTATACAAGAAATATCCACATTCACTATTTCTTCTTTGATTTTTCAGCTGATTTTGACAGCTAAAGGAAAGTTATCTGGGCGATGAACTAGGTCAAGCTCTACAAGGCGATTAGCATAGAAGATTTTTATAGAAGAATTTTACGAAAGATTAAACAACAGCGATGGCGAATAAGGTCGACTACCAGAAGGAGAGCGTTGTGAGATGAGTTGGTTTTAGAGTACATCTAAAGAGATGGTTAGTTATATGGGATGACGCATTGCCTGCACACGTTGGGCATGTCGAAGTCATATTCAGGCGGTAAGTGTGTCAACATCTCTAGAGTCTAGCGAAGCAGCTAGGACTCTTGGTCTGCTATACCTGCTGATTGGATTTCGAGTAGGTCTTTAACGCGTGCCGGCCTGCCTAGCAGTTCGGTTTTAAGAAGCTGTATAGAGTCCTTAAGGTTTAGCGCTTTGTAGCCGCAGAAGCGATTTTCGGGCGAGCTCCTCCTTCAATTTGTGGGTTTGCGTCCTGATGTTTTTCCGAAAAATGGAGGGACCTATAGTTCATACTAAGCGGCCTCTGAACGGCTGATGGTTTTTTATGAGGAGCCTTAATTTCATGTCACAAGTACACACGGGCGGGTTGACATTCCCTGTCGAGGTGTGAGGTGCATTCAGAAATGTTAACCTCATTTTTTTTTTTGATTTATTTTTTCTATAACATTTTGATACGCAATGCCAACCACTCCCTTCGTAATAGATGTCTGTTGGGATGGTCCCCACGCTAACATACACACAGATATTTCCTACACAGTATCACAGTATGCTCCATAACCGGGAGCATAAATGTTTCACTGCGTAAGAGGTCCATCAGGAGGTCACAGTACTCAGGCTAGTGTTTGGGCAAGCTTATAGCTTCTTAAACTACAAATCGGTGCAGCTTAGCTAACGTCTGGCCGCTGCCCTGCGGGTTAGGGGGTCAAGAAATTATCCGTGGTAAGGCATGCCTGTCGTAAAAGACGACTAAAATCCAATAGTTGCCGCGACAGTCGGGTCTTTATACTGGATCAATCTGGATATTTATACGGCAAATGGACTGGAAGGTGTTCCCCGAAATCCACCCGGGGTATATTTTGCGATTATAACAACAACACCTCTTTGGCTTTTCGACAAGCAAGAAGATTTGGTAACAAAAGCAGTATTATGGGGAGCGCAGGAGCGTCGCGAGGCTGTCGCGTGTTTCACCCAGTAATCTGTGATTATTTATTGTCCTAGTTTTTACATAATCGACTACGAGCCGCTACTCATACGTCAAACTGGTGAGGACGGCCGCCGAGGGTGTGAAGGCAGGAAGTGGAAAAGGTCGGCAATATAGCAGTTGGCATTCGAAAGAAGGTTATCAATATCCTCGGCAGACACCACTATCGGGCCAGGTCGAAACTTCATGGGGAGCTTCAGAGCTGCGTTGTATGCATCAGTGTACAAAGTGCTCGTCTGGCCATATTTAATGACGCATGTATGTACGTAAATGCATACACCACACACATATACATATGTACATATATGTCTACCATTAGTGTGCACATAAATCTGTATTAATTTTATGAATTTATTTATTTAATTGAGTTGTGAAATTTAAGCGCCGTTAAATTGTAAGCAAACACACTGCAGCGATTCTATTAAGAACACTAATTGCACCCTAGATATGAATTACATATACATATATGTACATCCAATATGCATATGGACATATGTATATGTGCATACACACAACCATGCATAGTTTTTGCAGGGAATAAAAAACGTTTTAATTAATTTTACCTTGGTTTTGAATTCGTTTGCACTTTGTCACATTATTCACTGGGCGAATTCACCCAGCAAACCGTAAACGTTTTTTACAGACGTACACACATACATATGCACGTACATACATACATGAGAGTACATTTATACACGTTACATGAACGCAAACTTTTTTCACTTATTAAATGCTTATATAATTACAAAATATAAACAAATAAACATACATACATACATATATATGTATGTATATACATACAACCACACACAACTATACGAACTTATGCGCCCAGAAGCACGAACAAAGCACAAAAAGCTTGTCGCCACAAACAGTGACACCATCTGTATTGGAATTTTCAGCGCGCTGCAGTAACAATAATAATAATAATAAACTACAAAGCAATATTTTCAATGTACGCTTAACCCATTGAGCGGCAATGGGTCGATTTGTAAGCCAATTAAAAAAAAAAATGTTTTTTGTTTTTTGCACGCAAAATGATGCAATGCGTTTTGCTTGCCGAATATTCTAGAAGATTCTAAGAGCGTTTCTCTTTAACTTTATCAGCATACTTATATACCTACATATATATGTACATATATACAAACATATGTGTGTTTGCATCAAAATATGCATTCTTCTAGCCGATTTTCAACCCCTTCTTAAACTGCTTGTCACCTCAAAATTTTCCATTGCCTTTCGTACAAACATTCGCCATGCTTAAGGGTTGATTTTACATTACTTTAAAATTCTTACTGGGTTACCCCCAGCAACAAAGGGGTTAATACACTCAGCGCAAAATGCACTGAAATTGAAATCGAATGGAAAATTCCATTGCTTATAATACGTTTTGTTTAGCTATCAACGTTCTGTGCTGTATTTTTTTTTTTTCGTTGTACGCGAATATATACATACATACATATGTACATATCAGCCACCGAGCAAGCAAATTTTAATATTTTTCATTTTTCCATATATTTTTGGTTTTTTTTTTTCGTTGTGCGCACAGCAGGCGAAAATTTTTGCAATTGCTTATAGAATAACGGCTACAACAACACCGAAAAATAAAATAAAATAATATATAAATGTATGTATGTGTGTATATTTCTTTTTGACTCAACAATGTATGATTTTCAACATTTTGGCACACTGTAAATATTCGTCGATATATACATACATATATATAGATATGTATGTATATATTAATATGTATGTAGCTAGCAGAAGAGCGGTGAGTGCAGATACTTTTACACATACTTATGTACATTTGATTGCAGGTAACTGAAATATGCAATGAATGTGCATTGACTTGTACATAGCATGTATGTATATATGTATGTAAAATACACAGACAATGCTTGCATATAGATAATGTATATACATATATATGTACATACATTGCCTCAATGAATTTTATTTCATTCATATTTACATACATATGTATGTAAGTATGTATGTATATACTCATATTATTATATATACTCGTACGTTGGTATGTAAATGCATAAATACCTTTGTAATATCTTACAAAAAAAAAAAAATTAATTATATGTATATACATATGTGTATTAACATACCATCTTATTCATTGTAATTGACATTGAAACCGTACATAATCGTGTAGTATCTTTGGATCGGATTCGCGTCATTTTAGTCGATATTTAAATTCGTTTGACGTTAACGAATATGGTATTCTGTAATTCGATTTAACGGAAAATTCCACAATTTAAATAAAACCGAAGAGGTAATAGTTCCTTTCCCACAGGTTTTATTTCCATAAAGCATAAAAAACTTGAATTTTCCGTAATTAATCACTATTTCTTGTATTTGCACTCTCCATTGTTGTATGAGTGTGCGTCTGTCGGGAATGCTGAACGACTTTTAGTATTTCAGTTCACTTCGTCGAAAATTGACTTTACTTTTCAACTAGCTTTCTCTGTACGTAGCAAGCAGTTATGTTGGCTAGTTGCCATGGGTTCTGGATAGATGCAATTTTTCTTTACGACTTCGAAGTTATGACTGTCAATAGGGATTTGAGAGCCAAGGTCTGAAGTGTTAACTATTTGTTTGATGAAAGGAGAATTCTCATAGCATATGACATCAATATTAATGGAATCGCAAAAAAGACTGCATCTTGCTTATTTAGCTCAGTAGAGTTCTACCCGTCCAGCACTAGATAACAGAAGTCACACGAAAGAGAATCACCCTGTATGAAACGTCATTTGGTGTCAAACGATATGCAGAGATTTCCCCCAAATCTCACTGCACTTTTGGTGCATTTCGAAGTAGCGACGTGAAATCAGTTCTTTAACGTGATGTTGTTTAAAATCAGATCCCTTCCAAACAAAATGCAAGACAAATGGAAATATTAGTTGCGCTAATTATACAAGTTTGAGTATCTCATTCTTTGAATTTCTCAATAGCCGCACTCCATTTTAATTACGTATCAGAAATCAAGTTTTCACTAATTCCAATAAGAGTAGCACAATATGTTTTTTTACAAAATTAGTTACTGGTTTGGTACTTTTGAGGTTTTATTTTTATTCAAGCGATATCGGCGCTGGAAATCGATATGAATAATCGGCAATGAAAGAGGGCTTATGCTACATTCACACTGCGCTGGAAAAACTATGTTAAAATATGATGACCTCGAAACGATTAATACTTATAACATATGTACAATATTTGATTTGGTCGGCAATCTATCAACTGATGTAACCATTTAATTTCTCTTCGTTCGGAAACTCTGTATTTTGGTAGTAATCGCGAAACCGCAGTTCTCAGTACAATTTTTGCAGACATTTTCTTTTGTAACGAGTCATCGATGTAAGTTTATATTCTGATTTGCATACATATTTGTACTATTTTCGGCATGTGTTCGATTAAAAACAAAGTTTCTTCCGCTTCTGCAAATCATATTACGACCTACATATGTAAATAATTAGCTTTTAGAACTTCTATTAGACATTTCCATGCAATATGACATATTTATGTTTAAATGCTTGCAAAAAAAAAAAATATATTGAATTCAACACGGGAAAAGGAAATGTACATTTCGTATAACATAATATTGAGTTTATTTAGATTTTTCGTTGAAAACGAAGGCATTTAGTAAAGCGACATAATAAATATAATATACATGCACATGTATAACATATATGTATGTGAAAAATTCTTATTTAATACATTTAAAAAAAAATTCTAAATATTTTTAAAGAAATTTTATTTTTATGTTTATTTTATGTTTACGCTCTCAAGTTGCTCACCTCGGCCCCTTAAAAGCGCCAAAAGCAAAAACAATAAAAACAAAAAAAAAATAAAAATTAAATTACGTTTGTTTGCAAAAATTCTAAACGAACATGCAAACGCATACATACATATACATAAATCAATGAAAATTCATAAGGCAAGTCTTTGTATGTGACCCATAAGGGGCCGGCTACATTCGGCGTGCAGCTAAAAATAGATAATGCTGCGAAAAAGATTTGCATTCCTGTGTTTACAAATACACGTAGGTATGTAAATTAATCTATATATGCAAATTATCACACAACCAAAGTAAATTGCAACAAAACAAAAAAAAGCAAAACAAAAAAAAAAAAAAGAATAGCAATAATAACAGAGTGGGTGGGTTGCACTGGACATTTGGTAAACGTGACAATTGTCACAACATTTATTACGAGCCGTTATAAACTTACATAAGCCTACCATAAGCATACATGTGTATATGTATATGAATATTTATTTAAAGAAATAATGGCGTAAATAAAGAAATCGAATGGAAAATAGAAATATAAAATATGTGTGTGATGATCTCATGAAATCACATAATTAATACAAAAAAATTTCTCTCATTCTCCCATTCTCAATAGAAAATTTTTACGTTACATGTTTTTTTTGACGAAAAACGACCCTCGTTAACGGAAATTTATCGACTGATATGATCGATAGTCATTACAGAGATTGCACATGGTATTATTGCATTCTCTGGCATTCCATTGAAAGGAATTTGAATTAACTGATTAATTTCGACGTGTTGTTTGATTATATTGAAGATACAGCCGAAATGCTACAAGATTACATAAGCAAAACAAATAGCACAATCCAAGGTGTGCTAGAAACCGATTATTTTGTAAAGCTAAACATAGTTTTTTTTATTGTCAAGTGATTTACAAATGTACAAAAATCATATAATGTATACACTATTTGTATACAAATTCATATTGGGTAAGTTTTAGTTGCTTTGCACTACAAACGTTCGTATAGCCTGCCACGACCTAATCCCACAGTTGTAGTACTAACCAAGGACTGATTACTGCGTATTCTACCACGCCCATAATCGGCAGTTGTATCCTCTTGTGTGTAACTTATTTGAAAGTGTGTGGTATCAGGTGCGCATGGTATATTTTGTGAACGTGTTGATCATGACTGAATCATCGAAAGCCTCTATGCTTTTTTGGCTCCTCGTCTTACTACGACTGTTCTTTGGCGTTGTTAGGTTTTTATTATGTGTTTTCCCAGGTCTAGGACTCTGAAAATCGTCGTTATTTAAAGTTCTTAAAGAGCGTAAAGTGTTATTTGACTGAAAAGACTTTTGGCAATCATAGTAAATTTTATTCTCGGATATTGCTTTAGTAAAGTAGTTACTGATACATGAGAAGAGGTTTCGGCAAAAGTACTAGTTGGTGTCGGGGAAAAAATTTTGGCATTTAATATAATAATATACCGGTGCATGACGTCCCGGTATTAAATCAATGGCAATATCTTTACACACATAATCGGAAAAAATGAATCCCCATCGAGTTACATGATTGTGTGCAATATTTAGTTTTATCAATGTCTTCATGATACTGTTTAAGAAACAAAAAAAAAAAATAATAAAAATAATAATAATGAATTAAAAATTAAAATACTTAAAAGATATAATTTGTATTATAAAAAAAAAATATTGGTGTAGCGAAAATTCTTATTTTGAACTTACAACGCAGGCAGGGCCATCTTCAAATTCGAAGCTGTAGCGTATGGGAAAGGCATCAGTGATATGTTGGTTGAATGATTCCACTATCTCGCCCATTTCACACGTAGCTTTTTTGAGCATATAAAAGAGAAATTTCATATCATATACTTTCAAATCGGTATTTTTTGGGCTATCCGTTTTCAGATAATCTAAAACAGATTCAATTATTTGCTTATTCTCCGGAAAGCTATAAAGTGGTTGATATTCGCCAGTTTCTCGAATGCGTACAAAGTCCAAAATGTTACTATATATAAGACCCAAATTGGAAACTGTTAGCTTACGGCTTTTATTTAAGCTGTTTTGCATAGTCCTTTGTATACAACGTTGCATATGAGAATTTTCTTATTTTGCTTCATTCAACTCCCTTTCTAATTCTTCAACCCATACAAAGCGGGTATAATTATGAACACTGCTATATATAATTAATTTTTTAAATTAACTGTATTTACAATAACAGTAAAACTAATAGAAGAAAGATAAAACAAATTTTGCGTATGTGTAAATATTTTGCTGTAACTACACCGAAAGTGAATATATATGTATAAGGTGGTGCTTTGTGAGGAAGATCAAAAGAGCAAAGTTCGCCGTTCGTTGTTTTTGCTATTATAAAAAGTGAATTTATGAAGTCAAGTTTTGCATTAAAATCGGTGTCAAAAGATTTATGAGTTCACCTCTTCTCAGTTCATTATAAGAATAGCCTAAAAATTTGATACATTGAAATTTTCAACAAAATTTTTGACATGCAGTTTTCACATGATAATCAATAAATAAAAAAGAAACTTGTTAAACCGTATAAATATTATATATACGCTACGTTAATTACGGTTAAGTGTCGTGCGTCGTTGAAATGGCTATCCAATTGAGCAATATTAATTAAGATTGACACATGCGAAGTTGTTCAAACAGTGCGGCTTAAATTGAACTACAGTTCCGAAAACTTTGGAGAGAAAATTGGAAAATATCAAAATTTAATTGAAAAGTCGTTTAACTTGTAACATTGTGCAGTTTTTTTAAGTAATTTCCATTATTCAAAACGAATTTACTTAATTATTCTTTAAAAAATGCGTAGGCTATAAAAATTTATTTGATACTACGCGATAAAATTGGACATCATGATAATTAATTATGATAACTGATTCAACTGAGGGGTCGCAACCTCTGAGACACTTCGTCCTATATAACGACTACTACATCTCTATTTAGACCAAACTTCTTCTCTCGGTCACCACAAAGAACCAATCGAGCTATGTAGCCAACTGGAATAACCTAACCGAATTTAATTACTCCAACTTTTTTATTTTAATTTTAATACAAAGTACCTGACCTTACTTCATGAGAATTTTAATGTCCCTTGTAATACTTCAAGCAAATTAATTAGAATATATTTTTATATGTGCAAACTAATGAATATTTATTGATTTTTCATTAGCAGCAGTATTCTAATTACAAAGTTATAACAAGTAAATATGTAAATTGTGTACTACAGAACGTATTATATGTACAAATGTATGTACCTGCAGTATGAAGTGAATATGAAGTAAAAAAAAATATGTTAATTAGAATCTATAAATATTAAGAAAATGAATTTTTCAATTTTAGTTTTTTTCGCAATACATATTTAATTTTTACACATTTTATTAGATAATCTTTATTTTTTGCTGCTGCTGCTGCATTCATTCATTGACTCATTATTTACATATTCCATTCAACTTAAATTACATTCATATGCACGTTAATATACATACATACATATGTATGCATAAGAGAGTGGAGAAAAAATAAATATCTAACATCTGTGTAAGCGAATTTTTCTTATTTAAGTGTTAAGAAAATAAGCAAATAAAATCACACGTCATCTTCAAGCAATTTGCAATTTCCCCTATAAAAGCAATCCCGTTTGAGTTTATTGTGAAGTATGAGGCTTTATTGTGAATATACAATAATTATAATTTCCCATATATTATTATTGGCTTTTTCGTAACCACAGCTTGACTAACGTAAAATAGAAGAATAAAACAATAAATAGGATGCTGCGTCGAAAAAATTCATATGCGGTTAGCATTTATATATATATATATATATATATAAATATTATTTTTTTTATTATAATGGCAAATACGACACGCGTAAAACGATAAATCACGTGTAAATTTAGAGCAACTTCCGCTTGCACCCCTCCCTTAAGTGCTATGTTGCAGCGGCCGTACAAGCAAACCACTTGTCCGAGTGATGATTAATTAAAAAAGCTAACATAAGCACATACACACGTATTTACATGAATGCTTAAAAGGCATATTTAAAATGTCCAGTTGAAACTAGTTAATGCTTGCTCCAATTTCATGGGAGTCAAGTTAACGTAATCAACGTTTTTTAATTAACAATAAAAAAAAGTGCACATACATACAAACACATGTATTGATATACAGAAATGCAAATATGTAGAATTTGCATTCAGTTATCTATTGTGAAATTGAATGCTTTGAAATCGCGTGAAACCTGGAACTCATCAAATAAGACAAAAAGTTAGAGAAAATGCAAATAAATGCAAATAAAATAACATATATATGTATATATAAAGAGCACAACAATAGTTACGAAATCACCTTGTAGTACGCGTAACACATGTAGTTTATGTAAAATGTCAAGGAAATTAATTTTTTTTTGTTTGCATTAATTGATATTCAATTTATTTGATTCTTATAGAAAATTTATTGCTTAAAGAGTTTATGTAAAACACAAGAATGACAAAATCAAATACCTTTTTTTTCTTGTACTTTTCCTTAAATTTAGAACTGGCTTAATATATATGTATATATATATTTTTTTTTTGTTACAGGCATTATTTTGAAATGATTGAAGGCTTATAGAAATGGATGAGAATTCAAGATTGAAACAAAAAGAATAAAAATAATCATTTAAAAATTTTTGTATTTCGAAAATATACAGGAAAATTATATAATGGTCTGTAGATAAAGTTTATTTTAGTGCTAAGTCCACAAAAATGTAAATATTATTAAATTTCTCTATGGAAATGTTTATTCCAATGAAATTCCAATACAAATTGAAACAAACACTTTAGCCACCCAAGCAGGAGTAAAAAGTAAGCATGTTAACTCTTACCTGGTTTTGACCCTATACTATTGCGCAACTTTAAGTTTCCTTTTCTGTTTGTTATTTCTATATAAACACAAAAAACTTGAAAGTTACCAAAAAAAACGGTTAATTTGAAACAAATGCGTTGGCTTCCGGAAATTCCTTTAAAAATGTGCACAGGTAACCCAGTATCAATACATTCACGCTTGCCATAAACGAAAAACAAGCATGCATGCAACCCTGCTTACAACAATGCTGCCAACTTATGCTGAAATCAACTCAGCAACTTGGCAAGTCTGTCCACCATTTTGATTGAATGTTGCCACAATCGAATTTTCACATCAAATACCTTCGGTAGCGCAAAGGGTTCGGGAAAAAAATCAACTCGGTGAAAAAGTGTTGACTAACTGCAGTGAAAAAGACGCGAAGAGTTGAAACTCTATACAATAGATTTGCAAAAAAATGAATCCAAAGCGAGCCAAATACACAACACTGTCTGCAGCTGTTAAGGAGGAGGTAGTTCCAGTTTTGATACATGATCCCAATGCTCCAGATGGTGAACAATACGCTTATGCTACATTCGCCACGGCAGAGGAGGCCGATTCTGCTGTTGAATCACTATCGGGCGCACACGAAACAATTGTTAGTACACATGAGACTATTGTTAGCTCGGAAGAAGTGATTATTGATGAGCATGGACGCGCTGTCACTATACAACAATTGGTCGATAATCATTCCGTCGAGGAAGTGGAAGCTGTAGAAGAAGCTGATGGTACACATACTATATTACATATAATGCCCTCTTCACCAGTGGTCGAAGAAACTGGTACGGAGAGCGGTGGTGATGGGGATGCAAGTCTTAGTCCAAACGATGCTTTTGGTAACCGCAACAAGACATTCTATTGCCCGAATTGTGGAAATTGCTATAGTGCTGCTGGTTCATTAAAGCTACATATGCGTGCTTGTATGAAGCAACGTGAAGAGGTGCCACCTGAGCAGAGACGCTGCGATATTTGCAACAAAGTATTCAATTCAGTTTCGTATTTAAAAGAACACATGATGCGACATACAGGCGAGGGCCCCAGACGTTGTAAACGCTGTTATCGTAAATTTATCGACGAGGATAAATGGAAAGCGCACATGGAAGCTCATAAGCAGCAGGATAAATTAGATGCAGAAGCACAGGCACTAGCTGAGCAACATGGTGGCAAAAAAATTGTGGTTAAAGAGTTTACATGCTCATTTTGTTCACAGAATTTTACAGTGGTGTTCGAAGAGGGCCAAGTAAAACGACGTTACGCCTGCGATGAATGCCGTGAGAAATATTCCAATGCGGAACAACTTAAGCAACACAAACAAATGGTGGGTGAGAAACGTGATTTCCATTGTGAGCGTTGTGGTCGCAAGTTCGTATTTGAGGGCTTCTTACAGCGGCATCTTCCAACATGTGATGGCACAATAAAACGAAGACGCGATATGAAATAGAAATTCACACCTCGAATAAGTGGTTAACGATGGTCTTGTCGATGCTACACGCGTTTTAAAACTATCCATTACCTAGTTTTTCGTACCTTATATTATTTGTAACACTGAATATTGTTGAACGGCATGAGACGTAGACTCAAAACGTATCTTGAAAAATATTTTTCTTTTAATCTGATATATGTAAATTTTTGAATTAATAAAAATTTAATATTAAAGTAAGGTTTATTTACTTTATTTGTTTACTATACCATTAGCATTTCGATGATAATATATATGCATTACGAACGAATGGCAGAAAAACTAAAAGCGAAAGTATAAGCTAGCGGTTTACGACCACAATTTAAGATGAGCACGCTTAGCGTATGATTTGTAATCGGTGTGCGCGTAGAACTCCTTGAACAAGGGAGTGACAAGTGTATCTTTTGGTAAGGTCTTGTAAACGGGCTCGCCATACCAGGTGCCGACCTATCAACACATAGTAGAGAAAAATAGTACAAGTATTGTACATAAAAACTTTTAAAGCCATAACCTACCTCCCAGCCAGGTACGTTTTCCATCAGCTTAGCCTCTTCGTCACGATTACGACGCAATTGCTTTAGGTATTCGCGATCACGTTCTGCAATAAGTAGTGGATATATAACAAAGTGCGCTGAACGATTCTCGATTTCCTCACGCAGCACTTTCTTTGCGGTCAAGTAGTATACGTACATGCCCACAGCTGTGATGGCCGCATAACCGCCAATCATTTGAAAGCCTATAGATTAAATAAAGTAAGTTAATATATAAATAAATGCAACTTGTTACGTTGAGTTTTGAATACTCACCTGTGAAGTAACTCTTGGCTGGCACACGTAAGTATGGAATTTTCTTGTAGCCACCCGGTGGAGGCATATCCTGCTTTCTAGTGGCACTAGCTGCTGCGGCCGACATTTTGAGGGCTCCCTTAAGAAGTGTTATTTAGATTATTATATGATTTTTGTAAGCTTTAAAATCAATATTCTTACGTTTTATAATTAATAGATGTGAAAAATTTTTCCTGACCAACAAATGTCAGCTCTGACAGCTGAGTTTGCATAACAGCAGTAGTGCCAACTTAATGACAATACAAATAATAGCTGACAAACAGCTGTTCACCGGAAATAAAAGAATGGAAGGGGTTGATTATTGAAATAAATTTCAAGCAATGAAACGCTGGTGGAAATATAATAAAGCATTTATAAATATATATGTGTATATAATGTAATCGATTTTCGGCAGCGCTCTTCCTACTTTTTGTGGAATGTGTATTTATGTTTTTCCAACAAAAGTATACATATTGATAATTATAATATTAATTTAAATCAGTACATTTTTTATACAAACGTTAGGCTTTCAACATTTGTTGAGATCACCTTCCGGCTGCCCCGTGAAAATACAAAAAAAAAACGCTTCTGCTCATTTTGAATAGACTCTTTTACGTAGTATTTTTATATTTCAATGATATATAGTTTAAAATTTACGCTGATTGAACATAAACATAAAAAAATTACTCACTATTTACATTTATTTCTAGAAGTTTTCGGTAAATTAAAAATATAATTTTTTCTTTTTATTTTTCTAACTTATATTTACTATAAAAATGTTTTTATTTTATAGCTATCTTTTTTTTTAAGGAATTACTTCAATACAATTAGCAAATAATATTCCTCTCTTACAGTTTAATCATACATATCAACTTCGCCGGAAGAACATTCAATAAGTGAGCTTAAAAAAGAACCGAAAAACTGTTAAATTTTCAGTCAATACAATAAATTCAAACGCCTGCAAGTGTGCAAACGTAATAAATCTAGAGCGTTGTATTTTTGTAAGACTTTGATTTCGTGCATTGATTAAAAAACATTGAAATATTGATTTATGAGAAAATTAGCATATTCAACAATAATTATTTTAAATGCTTATAACTCTACTATGTACACATGTACGTAGAAAAGCAGCTCAGTAGCAGGAGGCTGCCTATTTAATAAAGGCCTCCGGTGGTATCTTATTTTCTTTATGCAGCTTATCAAACACAAAAGCGGCATGATTATAATCCCAATTGGTTTCCTCCAGACATCTGCAAGGCAAGCGTATTTGGTTAAGAAAAAACATTGCTTTAAGTTAACAAATATTAAAAAAAAAAAACTTACTTCTTGCTCCACTCGATATTCATATTGCTTTGTGCGCAGAGGGCTTGCACCATTTGTATTTTTGTTGACTCATCAATGCCCACTTGCGCCGGTTGTAGTGTAGCAGCAGCGACAGTTGAGGTCTGTTTTGTACAGAGAGCACAGAGCGAGAGAGGAAGAGAAAGAAAAATTTAAAACGACAATAAAATAAAAAATAAAAACAATGTTATAATTACGCTGGGTTGATTGATACTCAAACGATTTTGTAGACTATTAGAAAGACCAGCTGCCTCATGGTTGATCTGTTGCGGCGCGTTAGAGGGTTCGATTGTTTTCTTGAAGAAGCGTATCTGTGGCTGCATTGCTATTGTGATGAGCACCATTTCGTTGCGTATGCAGAAACCACTACCCGCTGGTACAATTATATATTGACGCTGGAAATAACGTAATTCCTCTGAGCCTTGATCGAACTCTTTGAACATGCCAGCGACGGTGAATACGATCATTTTCGGCTAAAGTCGTCATGGAAACAAAAAAATATTGTTAAAAATATAAAGGGCTACACAACAACAATAACAACATTTAAAAGAAAATATTAATATAAAAAAAATTGAAAACTGTGTAAAAAATATAGTAAAAATATTTAAAAAAATATAAATATAATAAATAAATAATATTTATTAATATATATNTAATATAATGAAAATATACTAAAAATATATTAAAATCAATTAAGAAATACAATAAAACCACAACAAAAATTTACATAAAATACAATAGGATTATTTAAAAAATTCATTAAATTATACTAAAAATATATTGAAATATTTAAATTTACATTAAAAATGAAAATAATGAAAAAAAATTTGAATAATTTTAAAACAATAAATGAAATAAATGTTTATTAAAAATTAAATAAATATATATTAAAAACACAGTAAAAATTTACATAAAATATAAGAAGATTATTTAAAAAATTTATTAAATTATACTAAAAATATATTGAAATATTTATAATATATATTAAAAATGACAAAAATAATTTTAAAATACAACAAATATGTATTTAAAATATAGTAAAAATATTTAAGAAATGAAATAAATGTTTATTAAAAATTAAATAAATATATACTAAAAATATAGTAAAATATTTATATATATAAATATATATATTACAAAAATAATTGAAACAATTAAAAAATACAATAAATATTTATTAAAAAAAAAAAAATAAAAAAATACGGTACACAAGTAAACAAAATGATAGTATTCAGCCTCTTACCGTAAATAGCGTCAAATCAACGGTGAAAGAGCGTGGAAAATGTTTAGTTTTCGGCAATTCAGCAAGCATTGAAACCACCGCCAGGCGACCGACACGCAAATTACGAAACTTTGTATTATCATCAACGTTTTGCCGACGCAAATCACGATTGTAGCGCCAATATTTCTCAAGTCTAAAAAACCAACGTGCAAGACAACAGAGGGGTATAACAATCAGAACAGAATCAAAAATTAAATAGAAAGTCCACCGGAAACTTACCGCCCAACCTGACTGGCGGGTGGCACCATCAACGACAGCATCGCTTGGTCATGATAAGCATCGAGCAATGGCTGGCGATTATCCGAATCGAATATCAAAAAGTATTGCTCCAAAAATTGACGTATAATATCTGTGCCATTCGGATCGCAAAGGAATGAGGCTTTCGCCGGTGGCAACGCTGTAGCCTCCTCGCCCACATCGAATTGTATCATGGGTGTTAGCTCTTCGCCGTCCTGGACGAGCGTACGAAAACAGAAAACAAATTAGTCGATAAATTAAACGCCCAACAAGAGAGGGCCAAGTCAAAATTTTGGAAGCATAATTACCAATTTACGCAATTTCGGAAATTTACGTTGGATTTCCCTGTGAATGAACATATTATTGGAGCAATGTTTGAAATATTAATTCACAAATTATTAAATGTTAAGTTTTATGCAGTTGTGTTAAAAAGCAAAATTGAATAGTTCGTTCAGTGTACAAAATAAGGCAAAATGCCTGAATTTCATTTTTAATTACTACATACAGACATAATCTCGGAAAGCAAAATTAAAGGCAATTTCGAGTACAGCAAAAAATATACGCGCTGTATGGAAAAATGAGCATTCTTTACTGGCAAATAAAATGTGTGTGTGTGTGGGGAAGCAAATATATAAACAAGCATTGCGCTGTGGCAAGTCGAAATAAATTTTTGAAACGACTTGGTTGCTTGCATTGAATAGCTGAGCGTTGCCTTTTGATACATATATAATATTTTTTTTTTTTTTTTTAATATTATTTTATATTTTTTAATAAATTTTTTTTTTGTTCTTCTTCCTTTCTTTATATTTTAATTTAATTGAGCTACAATAAACGTTTCTTGGCCAAAATGCCTTAAGTCACAAATGAAACGCGCGTTTTTTTGCTGAGCGCCGCAGACATTTCTTTGGAAAAATTATTGGTATAAATGCATTTATTGACACTTACTATTCATTTATACTTTATTTAGTTATTTTCTGTGTGTTTTAAGTCAGTTTCAAGCAGCCGGCCTCAATTGGTGTTCGTTTTGCAGGCTCACACCTCGCTAACATATACACCAAAATCACACCAACACATGTATGAAACTTATACAAATTATTATAACAGTTATTGCGTGAATGCAATGCTTTCAAAGTATAAAAAAACCGCTTCCTTGACCTCAGAACTTAACAGTTGCACGCCAGCAAAGCACGCATGCGCGCACAGCCGTCACACACACTCACACAAGTGTAGCAAAAAATGTTGTCTAATTGCAATGCGGCGTAGACTAGTAGACGTTCTTTAAAGTGAGGCAAGTGAGAAGCGTGTTCTATGCATATTTTTTAGGTTATTTTAGTATTTTTTTTGTCCTTTTATATTTTTTATTATCTTTACTATGTGTTTAGCGCCTCCAATCGCTTGGAGTTTAAGTGTTGTTAATAGCGACTTGTCTGCGGTGTTCATACAAACTCAGTTAGTGCAAATTTGCACAGACGTGTAATATTTTAGCGCCGTTTATTGCCGCTCTTTGTTGTACTTGGTTTGGATTTTTCGTTTTTTTCATGCCTTTTTATGTTTTTTTTTTTTGTTTTTTTTTTTTTTGTTAATTTTTGTTTTCTTCTGCATGCCGAGCAACGCTTAGCTATATTTAGAGCTACAATTTTAGCTTCTTTTTTAGCAAAACTTGTATTATATTTTTGCTTCACATTGCAGTTGCTCTAGGAATTACAATAATTTTGCTTTAAATCTGCTTTTTTAAATAATTTTCAATACGCATGCGCAACAAAAACGCATGCGTAGATGAGCTTAACTACTTATTTTTGCTTTTTAACGGTATTACAAATTAAATAGAGCTTTGCTGCGGCTTTTTATGTGCTGTTTTGTACTGAAATTCAGCATTTTTTTAAACTAAAATTTCATATTTTCTATGAAAGTTCACATTGCAAGAACTTTTTAGTTTGGAAAAAACATTTTAGTTTGGAAAAAACATTTTAGTTTGGAAAAAACATGCCTTCAAAAAGCCACAACTGCGCTTTACACAATATTCTTCGTAAACGAAACTTTTGACAAAGTACAAAACATGAAATTTGTTCAAAACTAATTAATTTTCGTATATAAAAATATATAATATATATTGGTAGCTGCTGGACGTAAGCCTTGTATAGACGTGGCACGCTTGTAGCAAAATCAGCGCAGTAACGCGTAGTCAGCTGCCAGCGTTCGGCAGTCAGCAGCCGAGAAGCGTCGCGTAGCGTCATCGCACCCCCACAACCACAATAACAACGCCGCAGCAACAATTTCATGCGCCAACACAATCTCAGTCATTCAAGTTTCTACACCAGACGCTGCTGCGCAGTGCAGTTGCGCCACCTAGTAAATCAAAGTTTGATACCTGACGTAATGCGAGTGATCTTTGAAGCGGCTGCAGAGTCCATTATTTTTCAATACCAATTCAACCAACGGTACTGGACGCAGTGAAATTAAATGTGTAGCGGTGGGTATCTGCAGCAAGTAAGAAAAAAAATAATAAATTAATCCAAAACTTTACATAACCTCAAACAACCTACCCTGTTATCGGCCAAGTGGAGTATGCGCAGATTCGGCAGGCGTGTGTGTGCATTTTTGAACGCCTCCATGGACGAAATGTTGTTGTTATTCAAATTTAACGCCACCAAATCGGGTATATTCTTCTCCATTATCTCCACAGCAGCAGCCATGATGGGCGAACGGAAGAGACCGCAAAAGATACCCTTAAAATCAGGATCTGTATGGAAGCTGGACATGTCCAACGCCTTAGTTTGTGCATTATAACGCTTTGCCATGACCACTTGCATGCGTGCCCTTAGCTCGTCATTGACTGGCACCTGCGGACAGGCCGCACGTATACGCAAATACGGTCTAAAGCCATCGGGCATTTGCAGCGCCCGATCGAGACCATCCAAACGTTCGGCAACTCTATGATCGTCCACATAGAAGCTGATGAAACTCTTCTCTGAGCGCCAGTAGAGCGGTATGAGCTGTTCGGGCGAGATGGCGCGTTGCAAGACGCTCACTAGCTCGTCGCGTGCATAGCGTTGACCGTTGTTAATCTGAAAGTGTAGTAAAGGAGAACATAAAGGTGATAACTGTAAATTGGTATGTAGTATGCATGCATGTAAGTTTGTACTTATGTATGTATGTGTATGTGTGAGCGTATGCTTATAGACTTGAGGGCGCTTTGCAAAGTGACGCACTTTGCTCCCGAACGTACACTTTACGGCGGCACTGGGGGCGGTCAGCTGTTTTTTTCAGACTCTACATTGTGTTACGACAACAGCAAATAAATCAGAAAATAGGGAAAAGCAAACAACAATTTATAAAACACTTGCCAATAACGCCGATATGGCGTCAAACATTTCATAATCTTTATGATTCTGATCGCTAACGGTAATGTGCGCTGATAAGACAAGCCGCCGGGCTATGGCGTGCTACGAAGACTCGAGCCGGCGCACAAACGCGCAACACTCGCCAGGTAACACACAAACGCGCCGAAACGTAGTCAAAGCAATCAAAGCGAAATGTTGTAATGCAACAGTGGAGTTGTGAAAAAAGGCACAAAAAAGGAAGATAAGCGAACAACGTGGAACAAGAAATCGCAGGACACTGTATCACCCCGAAATGCAACGCTTACTACGCTGCGACTGCTGTTGCCGACGCGAACAACCCGATGAACTGGACGATGGAGCGATCACAGGCAGCTATTGGTCGATATGGCAAAGTAGAGAGCAATTCAAGCCAAACGAGCGGGTGAGTGGGTGGAGCAGGCAGGCAGGCTAAATATGATATGTGGAATAAATAAAAATAACGCTTTCTCCCTACAGGGCACACTCTCCACCATAGTCACAACCGAACCGAGCGCCAATGCAACGGCGACGCCACGTAATGTTGCCGATGACCTCGTGGATATTGAATTCCCGCAGGGCAGCTATGAAGATGTGCGTTACGGTGATATGTCGGCGACAATATTTAAACGTCAGCATACGTGAGCGATATTGAGTAAGGTTATATACATACATACATGCATACATAGGTATGGATATACATATATATGTATGTATATAAACTAAGGTGTTGGATATTGTGTTTTGTGATAAAAAAAAATTTACTTAAATATTTGGTGTAAGTGTAAGAGTTATATTGCGTGCGCATGACTAAAGTGATAAGAATTTTACTATGAAAAAAATGTGTAAAATATGTATATGTATGTCTATAAATAGGTTATATAGATAAGCGTAAATTTCCAATGATTATGCTAAGCAAAAATTGTATAAAAGCCATAAAATTTTGTTTTTTTTAGAAAATAAAAATATTAAAAAAAAAACATTTGCCTTTAAAATATTTGAAATTTTTCGGAAAGTGATTTTTGGCAAATTAAATTAAATTTGTTTTTTATTCTAAAAAGTTTCAATTTTGAATATCATATTTTAGTTACATTAAAATTTTGTTTTTTAGAAAATAAAAATATTAAAAAAAACATTTGCCTTTAAAATATTTGAAATTTTTCGGAAAGTGATTTTTGGCAAATTAAATTAAAAAGTTTGAATTTCAATTTTGATTATCATATTTTGGATACATTAAATACTATGTAAATAGATGAGATAACCCATTTAAAAAGCAAATATATTCCAGGAAAATCGGCACAGCTTATAAGCTTAACTGTTAAAAAAATAATATTAAAATTATTATTATAATTTTTTTCGAACTTTTTCTGCTGGTATTTTTTTTTAAGTATTTTCTTGCTTTTTTGGAATCATTTTTTTTAGGAAAAAGAACAATAAATTTGAACTTTCAAATTTTTTTTTCGAAATTATTTTAGAATAATTTTCAAAATTTTTCAAAAAAAGAGAGGAAATATGCAAGAGCTTCGATAAGTTATTAAAAGCGTACTTTCGATTTTTTTTTTTGCAAAATAAAAAATTACAAAAAATGAGTTAAAAATGTGAATTTTTTTTTTAAATAATTTTTGAGATACTTTGGAAAAGGGGAAAATGAGTTGATAACTTTTTCAAAATTAGTTTTGTAAATACATACATATATAGAAAGTGCTGGAAAAAATAATGTTTCTGACATTTTGGTTTTAGAAAAGCGAGGAAATGAGGCTACAGCTTCGCTTATATTTTCAAAGCCATTTTTGCAACTTTTTCTGCGATTTGAATAAAGAGTGCAAATAAAAAGTATTTATGTTATTATAAGTATTAATTATTGTTATTATTAATTATTAAAAAAAATATGTTAAACCTTCTTTACTTTATTTTTTTTTATTTTTAACTTTTTTTCTTACAAATTTTTTTTAAAACACTATTTGCGATTTTTTTATTGCCGACTTATTTAATTATTTTAGAAAAAAAATATCGATTCGGTTATTTTTTTAAACGCTTTTTTTGTATTTGTCTCGGAAATTTACTTTTTTGGCGGAAAAATATAAGTAGAAATTTGGAGTTTTTTTTAACTATTTATAAAATAAAAAAATTGTTAAACCTTCTATAATGTTTAAAAACATTTCTTTGAGATTTCTAATATTTTTTTAGAGAACATCTTTTAAAATTATTTTCTATTTTTTTGAATTTTTATTTATTTTGGAAAAAATACTAAGCCATTCAAAATAATTAAAAATAAATATTCTGATTTTTAACTATTTTTCGAAAATAAAAAAATTGGTTCCAGCATCGAATGTTAAAAATTTTTTAAATATATTTTCGAATATCGGCATTTTTTTCCAAATATTTATTTGCCCTTTTTAGAGAATATTGATTTTTTTTATTATTTTAGAGAGAAAATTTCCACTAACTTCGGAAATTGTTTTGAAAAACTTTAAAATTCTTGTAAGGAATGAGTTTAGGGGATTTTAAAAGATTTTTGTGTGTTATATAGCAAATTTATTGAACAAGAAATATTTTTAACAGTTAAAAATCGTATACGATAATCATTTACCAAGCGCTCTCTTGTACTCTACTACAGAGAAGCAGGCAACTTAACTACATTTCTCGAATCGCAGCGCCTCAAAGCTTTCTTTGGCGCCACTAAAATTTAAAAAAAAAAAAAAAAAAAAAAAAAAAAAAAAACAGAAAAAAAAACACACATTAAGTCGTTGAAGAAAGCTCGATAATTAGGAACTTTATATATCTAAACAGCAGCAACTTATGCAACACTTGTGCAAATAAATATATATGCGCATGTATGTGTGTACATATTAGAACCGTGCTAAAAACCATTCACTAAGCGCAGAGATAAAAGCGTCTGACTCAAAAATGAAAAATGATTCAGAGCGTTCGAAGAATTAGAGTTCAAAATATTTAAAAAAATAAAAAAAAATAGTAAAAGCTATTTCTGAATGATTAGGACATATATATATTGATAAATATTTAACCTAAAACTGATAACTGATAAGCATCGATACGAGAATTGTACGACAAGCGCACTCAAGTACTTAAAATGGCATGTAAAAATAAATATGGCCTCAAAAGGAATTATAAATAAAATGTTTCAAGTAATAACATAATAACATATGTATGTATTTATGTACATATACAATATAATATTGTCCGCTCCACCGACTTTTCGCTATTGACATGCTCGCCGGTTATCAGCGAAGCCGCCTTGTGCCACTTCACGCGCCAAAAAGAGACAATTTAACGCCAATTTGGGAGAAGGAGAGAGCAAAAAAAATAGAAACAAAAATAGAAATGGCTTAAACTTATTACAAATAAATAATCAAAAATTAATAAAAGTAAAATAAATAAAATTAGCAAAATGTAAACCATAATTCAATTATTAATAAAAAAAAAACAAAAAAAATTGATAATAAAAAAAAACAAAAAAAAAATTGATAATAAAAAAAACAAAAAAAATTGATAATAAAATAAAAAAAAAACTAAAATAATATTATTAAAAAAAAAAAGAAAATGAAAAAGTATTACATTATAAAAACTACAAAAAAAAATTAAATTAAGTTAATAAAAATAATATTAAACAATATAAATAAAAGTCATTAAAAATTTAAATTGAAGCTATAATGAAATAAAATTATAAAAAATTTAAAAATATTAGTTAATTAATAAAAATACCAATATAATTTTAAATTGCTTTAATAAAAATAAAATTAAAGATAAATATAAATAATAACCATTATAAAATTAAATAAAAATAATAATGCATTACATAAAAAATGTAGTTAATATATACTAAAACTATAAAAAATGAATAAAATTATAAAGATTTAATTTATTAAAAATAAAATAAAATTAAGTAATAAAATGATTAAAAAACCAGAATAATAAAGTTAGCAAACATAAAAATCATAAAATTAATATAATAAACTTAAAGAAATTAAGTTAAAACAATAATGAAGATAAAACTAAAATTACAAAGTAATACATTTAATTAAAAATAAAATTATAAAAATAAATAAAATTAAATTAAAATTAAAAAAAAAAAAAATTAAATTAAAAAAAAATTAATTAGAATTAAAAAAAAATTAATTAAAATTAAAAAGAAAAAATAATGATAAAATTATAAAAAAAACAATAATAATAATATTGTAAATATTTAAATAAAATTACCAAAAAAATTAATTTTTTTTTAATTATAATTATTATTGCCAAAATTAAATTTTTTGGTAATTTTTTTATATAAAAGAAAATTGTTATTTTACAGAGCAAGAAACACTAGCAAGTCAGAGCTTATGGTGTAGTTAAAAAAAGTGTAATTATATATAAAATTACTAAAAAATTATGTTTCTTTTTTTTTGTTTGGTTATTTTATTAATATTTTTTATTTTATTATTTCGTAAAATACACAAAAAAAAGAAACAATACAAAAAAAAGTTTTTAAGTTAAAGCTAAATTTAAAGATAAAACAATAAACAATAATAAATTATAAAAAAAAAAAACTAAAAACAGAAAGAAAGAAATGAAGTTTGAAAAAATGAAAGTAAGTATGCGCAGAATTAACTTAGAAAAAGAAATAAAACTAATTTTATTATTATAAAAAATAGAAAGTAATATAGTTAAAGTTTAATAAAATTTAATTGATTAAAAAATATTTAGTAAAGAGCGTTATAAATAAGTACATTTAAACAATAAAGGAAGAAGTTAAGTAAAGCAAATTTAAATTAATAAAAAATACCGTTGAAATTTAAAAAATAAATTAAATAAAAAGTAAAAAGAATAAAAAATTAAATTAAATTAAATTAACTAAAAAATGTAATGCATTTAAAGTAAAAATAAAAGACATATAAGATAGGTTAAATAAAAAGTAGTTAATTGAAAAATATTAAAGTATAAAAACATTAATTTAGGAAATTTAAAAAGAAAAATAATTACGTACAAATTAATTAATTAAAAATTTCGACTATTGAAAATAAGAAAATCAATCCATTAAAAACATAAGCAATTTAAAAAAAAAAAAATTAATAAAATTAATTATGTGTACATATGTAATTAAGAAGTAGGTTAATTAAAAACTAATTATTTTTTTATAATAAAAAATAAAAGGAAAATTTGGTAAACAAATTTAAAAATTGGTAAATTAACAAATTATTTAGTTAGTTTAAACAAAATTAAAAGGTAGATAAAAACAAATAAATAAATAAAAAATTTATTTAGGAAAATTTGGTAAATAAATTTAAAAATCGGTAAATTAACAAATTAAAATTATGGTAAATAAAAAAAAAAATTAAAAATAATTTTTTAATTCAATATACTCTGGTATATAAAAATTTTTTTAAAATAAATTTCTAATTCAATATACTCCTGCTCGTCCTATACTCGGCCAACAAAAGTGATTAATATAGCAAATATTATAATAAAAATATATAAAATACATATCTATGTATGACTCCAAGTTAACTAATAACCATGCCAAAAAAACAAAACAATACGCCGCACGTACAAAAGGAATGCCACAATTACGCCGCTGCTAGAGCAAAGCAAGTAAAGCAGAGCAGAGCGCTCATTATGAGCTGATAAGACAATGGAAGCCCAGTTAGCTGTATTTAATGCAAGCGAACGAACGAAAAAGTGTACCTATTAACAGCGTATGCTATATACAAAAAACAAGAGCCAACCAACTACCAACCGCCGCCGCCGCTCAGCCGTTCAGCCGCTCAACCACACAGCAACCCACTCGGTGGGCGATGGACGCTCATGACAAGTGAGAGTCTCTCGCCTGCCAGCCAGCCGGTGTCTATGCGCTACAAATGGAGTTGAACGCCGGCAGCGGTTAGGTCATTCAAATAAATTCTTTGCACATTTTTTCATATATATTTTTATTTCATTTTTTTATTATTAGTTTATTGCGAATTTGCTTTTTTTCGCCCTATCAATTTGTGAAATACATCAGATGAGTATTGTGGCGCAGTGTATCATTTATTTATATACGAGTGAGTATACATACATATGTAAATATGTACATATGTACTTGGTAATTAATGTACAAAGATTTATGTCGCTATTGTTGTTGCCGCTGTTGTAGCAATGTATGAGTTATTTAGTTGTAATTTATTTATTGCGCTTATTTTTTTTTTCGCGATAAAACCTTATTGAATTCAGCGGCAGAGTAGAGTGGAGTAGAGTAGAGAAGAGCAGAGCAGAACTTAAATACAAACATACCACATGTACATACGTACATACGTACTTAAGTATGTGAAGGAGTGCTGCAGCAAGTCGTAGTATGACTGACTCCTCTAACGACGCCTACACCGCTGCCACCTTTTACTCGATTCAATAATAAATTCGAAAAAGTGAGTCGAACAAAAGTGAAATTGACAAACGTACGCCGTGCAATCGTGAGACGACAACGACAACGACAACGACGACGACGACGTTGATGAAAAATATACTACTAACTCAGTTCTATAAAGACTGTTAAAAAGCGCATACGGAGTGTTTGGAGTGTGGTATTATACACAAACATACCTATAGACACGCTAAAAACCTGCATAGAGTTGCAAAGAGTGTGAAAAATTTAAGGAAAAAATAGCAAAATGGGCAGTTGTTGTTCAAAGGATCCAGACTCGAAGACCTCATGGAGTCCTTCGGAGGCAAAAAACGCGGTATGAAAGGATGCCAAACTGTTTATTGAAAAGTGTGCGAAGGCATAGTGTGTGTGTGTGTGTTTGTAAAGTGCTTGCAAAGGGTAGTGAGGAGAGCTTTTCGGCCTATGAAAAGGAAAAAGAAAATAAAAATAAATATATAAATACAAAAAAGTCACTAAAAATAATTAAAAATAAAAGTAATAAAAATTAAACATAAAAATATTAAAAAAGGCATCACAATAAAAAAAAAAAATAAAATAAAAATATTTATAAAAAAATTATAAAAAAAATTAATTTAAATAATAATTAAAAAATAAATAAATAAAAAAATAAATAAATAAAAAAATAAAAAATAAAAAAAAAAAATAAAAAAAAAATTAAAAAAATAATAAATAAAAATATAAAAAAAAATATAAAAGATATAAAAAAATATAAAAAAGATTAAAAAAAAAATTAAGAAAAATTATAATTAAAAAATAAATAAATAAAAAAAATTTAAAAAAAAATATAATAAAAAAATTAAAAAAAAATTAAGAAAAATAATAATTAAAAAATAAATAAATAAAAAAAATTAAAAGAAAATAAAAATAATTAATTATAAGAAGATAAAAAACTAACATAGAAATAATAAAATAGTTAGTAAAAAATAATTAAAAAAATAAGAAAAAAAAATAAGAAAAAACCGAAAAATAACAAATAAATATTTAAAAAAAAATAACAGAAAACAATTAAAATAGAAATAAGAAAATAACAAGAAAGCAAATAAATAAAAATAAATTATAATTAAGAAAAATAAGTTAATAAATTAATTAAAAATAAAATAAGAAGATAACAAAAATTAATTAAAAATAAAATAGTAAGTTGAAAAAAGAATATAATAAAAATAACGAAAAAGTCAAAATTGAAAAAGTGATCGAAATAAATAAAAATATAAAATTGAATAAAAAACATAAAAAAATTAAATAAAACGAAGTAAAACATAAAAAATTAAATTAAATAAAAAAAAAACAAAATTAATATATAAAAACAAATTAAATATTGAATGAATAAAAATATAAAATTGAGAAAAAAACCACTTAAAAATATAATGAAACGAAATAAAAAAAAAATAAAATAAAATAATTAAAAAAAAAAAAAAAAATAAAATAAAAAAATTAAAAAAAACACAAAATTTAAAAATAAAGTTTAAAAACAAATGAAATAAATAATAAGTTATTTTTAAAATAATAAATGTTTGTTAACAAAAAGCTCTTTGTAAAAAAAAAAACAAAAAATAAATAAAATAAATATATAAGCATGTATGTATTTACAAAAAACATTACTCACAAAGAAATATTCTCGACATGAGTCAGTCGTCTCACGCTTAATCACATGGCATATACATACATACATATATATGCGCATAAGTAGCCAATGCATAGTGGGTGGGGTGTGGCGGGCATTTCAATAAATAAAAAAATTAAATGCGAACAACAACAATGTATTGTATTGCGATGCGTGTAGAGTGATAGCAAAAAGGTTAAATGAAAAATCGTAATTGTTTACTCAAATATTAATAATATATAATTCACTAAAAAAAATTAAAATTTTTTATAAATTTTTAAAACTAAAAAAATAGTATTTACAAAAAATATTAAGATTTCCAAAAGCTTTAAGAAATTCACAATTAAACTCGTAATTGTTTACTCAAATATTAATAATAAATAATACACCAAGAAAAATAAGAAAATTTTTTATAAATTTTTAAAACTAAAAAAAAAATAGCATTTACAAAAAATATTAAAAATTCCAAAAACTTTAAGATATTCACAATTATTGTAGAAATAAAAAAAACCCTGAAAATTCTTTGACTGCAAAAAAATTTAAAATTTGTGGTTGGCATTTCCGATTTCATATTAATTTCAAACCTCATAAGATACGCTTTTTTAAGAAAATTTGTTTTTAAATTTCGTTGCGCAAGCTTAACTAATTACTTCCACACGCGCTCATTAGAGCTTGCGCCTTATGTAGTTATGTACATTTTAGCGCTGTGTTGTTGTGAAATTTGAAAAATATCTTTGCTTTTGCAATGGAAAAAATGAGTTTTTTTATTTTCGAAAAAATACATAATTTAAAGTTAAAAAAATATACCGTATTTTGTAAAAAAAATAATTATATGAAACGGCACAACTCTTACCTTCAATTAAAAATGCCCAGGGACTTTTAAAACAACATAAAAAATGTTTTTTTTTTGTATTGTCGGCGCACGTATGTTTTTTTTTTTAGTTTACTTAAAAAAACCTTATCTAACATTTTCGCATATACGATATATCGTACTCGTATATCACATAACGAAAGTGCAAGTGCTTCGCACAAAACTCGCATAAACGGAAAGAACATGTAATCTACATATATATGTATACGTGTATGTATGTACATACGAATGGCAATAAAATTTAATTTAGCAGTTAATTTGATGGCTAAATTTTTATCATAAAGCAAACAATTGACAAATCATAAAGAAACAGACAGCACACAACAACTGACATATGTACGTAAATACATATGTGTGCATGTACATAATATCAATTTGTGCAAACAAAATATATTTTTCAAGCGTTTAAATTAGTTCACGCCAATAGAAAAAAGTAAATGAAATAATTATAAAAATAAAATCCATGCTAACTACTACTTACTGGTAGTACGTTTATATTGAAATAACAAATTAACGCCTCAGTTTAATTTTTTCAATATTTTAAATTTATTATCTTTTTAATTTTTTATTTTTTTTTTTAGTTTATTTACATATGTATATTCATTTTATATTCCTTGGTTTTAATTATTTTAATTTAATTCTTTTTTATTTTATTTATATTTTCTATTTTTATTTCATTATTTTCTCTTAATTTTAATTTCTTATTTTTGTTTGATTTATGTAAATTTTTGGTTTCATATTTTTCCCTGCAACATTTTTTCATTTACACTTTATTTTTATGCTTTTTATTCCTATTAAGTTTATATTTTAGTTCTTTTTGATTTTATTTTTTAATTCCAATTTTTATAATTTCCTACTTATGTTTTTTTTTATGTTCATATTTTTTCCTATTTTACTATATTTTTTATTTTTATTTTTATTTTTTCTATTTTTAAATTCTTTTTATTTGCTGCTCGTTTTTATTTTTGTTAATATCTTTTTATATTGTATTTTATATATTCTAAAAATAGTTTATATGTTTATATATATATATTTTTTTTATTTTTTCCCTTCCTTACTTGCTTTTTTGCAATTTTTTCCTTTATTTGTTTCTTTTTAATTTTTTCTCTTTATTTGTTTCTTTTTAATTTTTTCCCTTTATTTGTTATTAGTTTATTTTTAATCCCTTCCCTTTTTGTGTGTGTGTATATGCTTTTATTTCATTATATAAATTTACATTTTTCTCTTTTTCATTATTGCATTTTTTTATCTATTTTTTTATTTTTGATTTTTTTATTTTTTTATTTCCGTTTTTTATTTTTATGATTTTCTATTTGTTATTTTTTTTCCTACTTTTGATATCTTTTTTTTCTGTTTTATCTATGCTTTACATTTTTTAATTGCTTCTTATATTTTTCATTTATTTATTATCTTTTTAATTTTTCCAATTTTTACCCTTTTTTATTTTTTTATTATATATTTTTATTTAATTCCATATAATTATTTATATTTTTCTCTTTCAAATAATTTTTATTTTTATATTGTTTTCTTTATCTTTATTTTATTCTATTTTTTTTTAATCCTAATCATTTATAATATCCTTTTTTTATTCTTTTATTTTTTCTATTTTCCTATCAAATTTATTTTAATTCTTACTAGTTTTCGAAATTTATTAATTTTTTAAATAAAGCAATATATTAATTTTAATCTTTAATTGTTATATATTCATTGGATATACATTATTATTTGATAATTTGATGTTTCATTATTTAAATTTATTTATTTTATCTAATTTTAATTTATTTCTAGTTTTTATTCCAGTTTTTTATATTTATTTTTTTTACTTGTACAAGTTAGATGCAAAGCAAAGAAACCTCTCCTCTTGAAACACCATATATATTTAATTAATTTTTTTGTGTTTTTAAATTTTTTTAATATTTTGCTATTCTTGAAATGTTTTTTATTTTTTTAACATTTATTTTTTCTATTTTTTATTTTTTCTATATTTTTACATTTTTTATTTTTAAGTTTTTTCATTTTTCTATTTTTTATATTTTTTTAATTTTTATTTTTTATATTTTTTCCTTATTATTTTTAAGTTTTTCTATATTATTTTTATTTTTTTCTGTTTTTTTTTACTGTTTTCAATTATTTTATTTTTTAAATTTTTAATTTTTTTTACATTTTTATTTTTTTTATTTTTTTATTTTTTATTTTTTCAATTATTTTATTTTTTTATTTTTTCAATTATTTTTTTTTTTTATTTTTTCAATTATTTTATTTTTTTATTTTTTCAATTATTTTATTTTTTTATTTTTTCAATTATTTTATTTTTTTATTTTTTGAATTATTTTATTTTTTTATTTTTTGAATTATTTTATTTTTTCAATTATTTTATTTTTTTATTTTTTCAATTATTTTTTTTTTATTTTTTCAATTATTTTATTTTTTACAATTATTTTTTTTTTGAATTATTTTATTCTTTCAATTACTTTATGTTTTCAATTATTTTATTTTATTTTTTTTATTTTATTTTTTTTATTTTATTTTATTTCATTTTTTTATTTTTTAATTATTTTTATTTTTTTAAATTTCTTCATTTTTTAAATTCTTTCAATTTCTTAATTTTTCAAATTCTTTAAATTTTTTATTTTTAAAATTTTAATTTTTTTCCATTTGCTTTTTTTTTTACTAATTTTCAATTTCCTTTTTCAGTTTTAGTTTTAAGTTGTTTCTATTTATTTTTTTATATTTTTCTTCTTTTATTTTATTTATTTTGTAATATTTACATTTATTCATTGCATTTGTTTACTAATTTTCACTTCGCATTCCAGAGCACAACCTCGACCATTGTCGCACAGCCCACAAACGATGATACCTCGGCTGGGGTGTTTACGAGCACGATTGTGCTGCCGGTTAACAACGCCGATGGTGGTGTGACTGGCGAAACAACAACAACAACGACTATTATAAAGACAACAAAAGTCACAGAAACAGTTACGGAGACCTCGGAGGAATAAATACACAAATGCTGCGATGAAAATCGACTGGAGGCGATGTTTGAGCGAATAATAACCAAATGATGATGAAAGAAGCATTTAGCATTAATTTATATACACAATTAAGTAATAATAGATGTTACTGATATTTTAGAAGACGAAAAAAATATAAAATAAAAAAATATAAGAAAATAGTAGAGTGCACACATTTAAATATTATATATACTGTACATACATTCCATACACACATACCATATGAGGATAAGTTCATATAAAATGAAAAGAATTAGTATGTTTTTTTTTTGTATTTGTGCAATAATAAAAATGCATTCATTTTTGATAAAAGTTGAAAGAAAGAGAGATTTCGAGGTTTCATTTGATATTTTAACGGGTAGCATATTTCGCACAGCAGTTGAAGCTCGAGAAGCTGGGTATGGGTAGGATTTGAAGAATTTCCCCGCGGTAATTATTGCCTGAAGAGGTTTCTCAAAGCCATTTCCCAATTAAAGTCTGCATTCTGCAGCGGACTCAACTCCAACTTTTACAGGTCTGAGCCCGACACTCACTACCGAGGCTGACTTCGCCTGCTGCTAAGCGGGGTTGAGCAAAAATCTGAAAAGAAATTGCACGTCCGATGGACAACAAAGCTAAGAGAGTCGTCTAAGCTTTTAAAATTTGGTAACGAACAACTGATAAGCTTCTTGAATGGAATCTATGGATGAACTGTCCAGTCCACAAGAAGGTTTACTTCACAAACTGCGCCAATAACAGTGGGCTAAGCCTCCCCAATATCGTAAATAAACTGCTACCTAGTGTATTGTGGGAAAGATTACGACCCAGCGCCAACGAGCTCAAAGCGCTTTATCCGAGTGTTTGTTCTCAGACTTGGTTGATCCAAGAAAAAGCCGTCTTCGATGGCAGTTAAAAGATCTGATTCTACGTCGCTCAACGCTAAACCGACGGTGAGCAATACCAAAAAAGCATATGACTTTTCCAATCTAATGTTGGAGAAAATAATACGGGGACTTCCATTTAATTGGTCAGCAAACAGCTAAAACAATAAGAACGGCTTTCCCAGGTCATAAGACGCATATCGAGCCCATAATGAGTGTCTTCGGCTTCTCATTATCATGCATTCAACCCACTACCTTCACCACCTCATGCTTGCTCTGCCCGCCCGAAGCCATAACCAAACTAATTAAAATGCATATCAAGCAATCGCTGGGATTGCTGTTGTTGTTTTAGCTGCTAACACCGCTGGTGTCGTCAGTAGCAATGCTTACCATCAAGCTTTTGCCGCCCAACTCTGAAACGCATTTAAAACGAGCCTGTCAAGCCAGCCAGTGCAGCCACAGAATGCAGCGTAGAAAACGAATTGCTGCGAGTGATAAAGAAAAGATTATAAAATTTCATTCTTATTGAAGAACAACAAAGCATAACAGCGCGGACAAACAACAAGATCAACAATTTACGACGCTGCCCACCGTACGTCCGCTGCACGCCCTGCACCACCGCGCAGCCCTCATCGCTTTTCTATCGAAGGCGCGTCGCGCACGTCGTTGATGTCTACCCGTCCCTCTATCCAGTCAGCCGCTAGCCGCCAGCGAGCCAGTTCTAATCTCGATCCGATTCGCGCAGCATTCATAAACGCTCGTTTAATCGTCAATCAGTTTAGTTTAAATACCCGTCGCGGCAACAACATCCTCCAACAAGCAAGCAGCACAACGCGCACAGTTCTCACGCTACACATAAAGCATAAAGTGGAGGGAAAAATTTAAATTAATTAAATATCAAATATACAAATCTAAATTCAAATTCGCACGTCATCGCCTTGATTGAACGCGAGTTGTTTTCGAACGCGCATTGCTCGGCTGCGAATTATTTGTGAAATTGTTTTGATTTTCGAGTTTACTGTTGCTCTTCTGCGTCTTTACTGCTTATTCTTCTTCTTCTTCTTCTGGTTACTTGGCTCGGCGCGCGTGACACATGGCACCAGTTTTGAACTTGATAATGCTCGCCGCGCTGGCGTTTATGGTCAGCGCCGCGCAAGGTTTCGTGCTGCCGCACTACGCACAGCTGATGGGCGCTGATTATGAATATGCCGAGGAGACGCCTGCAGCGCCCACCCCGACGCCCAACTATATCATGCGCATCGCACATCCCAATGAGTTGAGCGCCGAGACCGCCGTGTCCGAGGTCACCAAATTCATCGATGCCGCTGCATCCATTAACAAAGAAGACGGCACAAAGCGACACGAGGCGGACGGTAAGCGCGCGGGTGATGCCTTAGACGCAACGCAGCACCGTCAAGGCAAGACGCTGACCTATACCGAACTCGACAAGCTGCTGGCCAATTGGCAAATGGATAAGGAGCGCAATGCATACGAAATGCAGGTTGGCGGCCTATAGCCCGTCGCCACAACTGAGCGGCACGGGAGCGTAGTCTTAGCGTTGGATTAACGAATTTGTTATTTGTTTATATTATTGTAGATAAAAATATAGTTGTTTATTGTTATTTCGAATTTTGAGTGCCACTGATTGAACGTGGGCCTAATCGCGGGCGGCGTTCGCTGATAACGCTTCGCTTAGTCAGGCAAAAAGGCTATCAGTGAGCTTAGGGTTGTTTGGAGAAATTGTCTTGGAGATTTAATATTTATATTTAAAAATTACTTTTGAAAATGTTTATTGCGGAAATAATTATTAATTACGCATTCATTAAGGCAACGCGTTGATTATTTCGATTAATAAATAAATATTTGCTTAGTTACAATTATCTCCTATGCGGTGCCTGTAATGTAATCCCTGTAGAAACAAAACACTCAAATTAAGTGTCCAAATAAAGGAAATCATGCCATATACACAATATACATACATATGTATGTATGTATGTATGTATATAAATTTTATTTCGATTGCACATAGAAGCAATTAAAGCTCTTGAAGATAAGATAATGGAAACTATTTTGATTCTCAACCTCCAAACTAGCCGTTTTGGGACCGGGAAATTTTCAACAAAAAACCCCAAAAATTTAAAAAAAAATTAAATTTTTTTTCAAAATTTAAAAAAAAAAAAATCAATGATTTTCAAAAAAAAAAAAAGAAAAAAAGAAATCGAATAAATATAGAAAAAATGTATATTTAATTACATTATTATAAAAAAATTACGAAATTTTTGAAAATAAAGAATATTAAAAAAATTGAGTTTCGGAAATATTTCTTGAAAAGCTATAAAGCAACAATTATGAAAAAAAAAATTATTGAAAAATTGTGAAATATTTTCGAAAACTTAGAAAGAAATAGAAGAAGCGTATATATGAAATTCAAAAATATCTAAAATCAAAGCATCGAAAATTTGGAAAAGTTTTTCAAAAAATTTCAAAAAAACGAAATATTTAAAAAACCTATAATTTTGAAAAAGAAAAACCAATTCTTAAAAAAAATCGGATCATTAAAAAGATATCGAAAGCTTTTGAAATATTTTTTGCCGGAAAAATTTCAGAGAAACCTCAAAATTTAAAAAAAAAAAAAAAAAAAAAAAAAATTNAACCAAAAAATTTAAAAAAAAAAAAAAAAAAAAAAAAATTTCAACAATTTTGAAAAAAACGAATAATTTTCTAACTTTCAAAAAAAAAAACTTTCAAAAAAAAAATTAAAAAATATTTATATTTTTATATTATTATACAAAACTTTCGAGAATTAAAAATATACAATATATTAAAAAATGTAATTTCGGAAATTTTTTTTCAAAAAGTTAAAAAAGAAATAGTTTTAAAAAAAATAAGTAATTATCGAAAAACTTTGAAATATATTTCGAAAAAGTTGAAAGAAATAGTAGAAGCATTTCTATAAAATTCGAATACAATTCAAAAAGTCGAAAATGTTTTTCAAAAAAATTTGAAAATATTGGAATATTTAAAAAATCTACATTTTGGAATTAAAACCAATTTATAAATCAAAACGAAAAATTAAAAAAATATCGAAAACTTTTGAAATACATTTCGAAAAATTTTAATAGTATTATAAAATTAAGAAAAAGTCGTATCTTTCAAATAGAATGAAAAAAATTAAACAAATCGAAATATTTAAAAATTAAATAAGAAACTTTGAAATAATTTTCGAAATTTCAAAAATGATAGATTCCAAAAATTTTGGTTTTTATTGTACTTCCAAAATACATGAAATATTTATAATTTTTAAGAACTTTTTCAAAAACATCTGAACTTTTACAAAATATTGGGAAATATTTTTAAAAATAATTAAAGGTATCTGAAAAATTTTTGGAAACACTTTAAAAATATCTTCCAATAGATTGAAAAATTGTGAAAAAAAAACAATTTTTGCAGAATTTTTGCTTTTAAATATTTGAAAAGTATTTTGAAATTTTTTTAAATCTATTTAAAACAATATGCATTTCGAAAAAGTTTTAAAAATATTTAGAAAGAAATTATAATAAATATAGACAATTTTCGGAGAATATTTCTAACAGTGTAAAACAATCTTACAAGAAGTTTTGAAAAATTTGCATTTCGCAAAATTATGAACAATATACCGAAATAAATTTTGAAAAATTTTCAAAGATTGTATTGTGTTTCTATAAAGCTTTAAAAAATAGTTTGAGAAAACGATAAATATTTCGAAAACTTTGAAAAACACTTAAAAAGTTTAAAAAAAAATACAAACTTGTTTCCAAAACGTTTGAAAAATATTTTGAAACTTAGTTTTTTGACGTTTTTTGTATTTATATTTCGAAAACAAATTTTCAGCATTTCGAAATAACAGAAAAACTTTTAAAGTTACTTTGCGTAGTTTTCAAAAATAAATTTAAAACTCATTTTGAAAGAGTTATAAATAAACAAATTTTAGTTTTTCCAAACAAAATGCTTTTCAAAATATATATATGTACATATACAAACACTCAGAAATACTTCTACAAATCTCAAATGTTCCGAAAAAAATTATTAATTCTTCGAAAACATGTTTAATTTTGAGCTATTCTCGAAGTGTTTTCTAAAGTAATTATATTTCGAAAATCTTGAAAAATATTTCGGAAAAAATTAAAAATACTTCGAAAAATATTAAAGAATTCCGAAGTTTCAAAAAAGTATTTTCGAAAATTTTTAAAACTATTTTAAAAAAAGTTTTCGAAAATTTCAAAATTCATTTAAAACGCATTCGGCGCACAACTCGCACATGCACCCACCACACAGTTAAATAAAATGTAAACAAAGTAGATTGTTTAATAAAACTACCAGAGCGATTTATTGCAAGAAATTAAATTCCCGACATATTTCATATGCGCCTCCACACCTTCAACAATACTGATGAAAACAAATAAATCACAAATCAATAACAAATTTGAATACAAAAATGCATTTGTATATAAATTCCTTAGTTCATACATATTAAGCTATTGTACGGCCACGTGTTGTTTATTGCCGTTTTGCGTAATCACATCGCCACCACTGTTCTTCCTTTCCTTTACATAGCCAGCGGTGCTATCCAGTTGCTGCATGCCAAATTGCGGTTCTGGGCCACTCTTCGGCAAGGGTGTGTCATCATCTACCGTGCTTGGCGTTGCTGAGCCGCCACCCATCTCGGAGCTTGTGCCAGTCACCACAACAACGGGCACTTGTCGATTGCGCAAACGCTTCGCCAGTGGTGGGACGAAGAGATCATATTTGATGGTTGTACATGCGCTGTCTGTGTAGATGTGCGCATTCGAATCCCAGCCCAGTTTGGCATACAGCCAGGAACACGCCAAGCCCACAAATAACGTGATGAGAAAACCAATAACTGAATACCACATATACGAGATGCGATATAGATAGAAATAATGCGGCTCATCATCTGTTTCCGACGACGCTGTCGGGGATTGTGTGAAAAAGTCACTGACATGTGATGTAGGTGGCGTTACGGCGCAGCCGTCGGTGGAGAATTCCAAGGCTTGTGGTGTTGGTCTTGGTGTGCCGAAGCCGATCCAAAAACATATTGCCAAGCTAGTGACGAGACCTGTTATCGCACCCTTTTGATTGACGAACGTAAAGTACATGCCGAGTGTGAAAAGACCCAGGAGTGGTCCGCCCACAATACCGAAAATGGAGAGCGCTGCCTGTAGTACACCGGTAAGAGACCCGGCAACGAATGCCAAACCGATGCAAGCGGCACCGTAAACCAAATTGAAGAATTTCGAAAACCATGTGCTACGCGATTCACTTAACGGCATTTTAGTTTTCCAAAGTAGCAAAGGTTTTATATAGTCTTCGACAGTGACGGCCGCCAGCGAGGAAATAGCGGATGAAATCGTAGACAAGCTTGCTGAGAATATGCCCGAAACGAAGAGACCCGACAGACCGGGTATGTTGCTCATTGTGTCTACGACGAAAAGCGGCATCAGTTGATCACGTGACGAAATACGACCTTCGAGAAGTGGATCACAGTCTTTGTAGTAGTAGTAGATACAGAGTCCAGAGAAGCAGGTGCTGAAACTCAAGAGCATCAAAATCGGCAAATTCCACCACAGCGATGCCTGTGCTGATTTCAATGTGCGTGTCGATAACAAACGTTGCACCTGCGTCTGATTCACGCCATACAGAGACAGATAAGTGCCTGTGCCGCCGATGATTTGTGTCCACAGCGTATGGCGCACTGTCGGATCGATGCGTATATCGGAAAAGTTAATACGACCGCCCTCATTGGCCACGTGCCAGATCTCAGCCCAACTGCCCGCTTTGATGGTGGCACAAATGATCACACTGAAGATGGACACAAACATCAACAGTGATTGAAAGATATCCGTTATAAGTACCGCCTTCATGCCGCCCAAAGTGGCGTAGAAGGTACACACCACACCCACGACTATTATAGAGAAATTTCGATTGAGTCCCGTCACCGCTTCCAGCGCTAGCGCGGGCGCATAAAGCACAATGCCCATGTAGAGCGTCATTTGTATCGTAAAAGCAAGTGAAGCGCTTAGCCGTGTGGCGTAGCCGAAACGCTGCTCCAAATATTCATATACGGATGCTGTTTTCAGGCGATAGAAAACGGGTAGTATGAGATAAGCAGCTACAGGTGTGGACAATATATATGACAAATTGATCAATACAAACATTGTGCCGTACTGGTAATTCTCCATCGAGACGCCCAATAAAGTGACGGCAGACATAAAACTAGTCATAAGACTAAAGGCAACAGGCAATATGGACATCTCACGACCGGCAAGTAGATACTCCTTAGTCGTTTGCTGTTTACCGCCAGTGATGCGGTAGTAAATGCCAATCGCAGCTGAAGCGATGAGCACAACTGCAACAATGCCATAGTCGAGAGCACCAAAACCGGCCATTTCGCTGCTTGTACGCGGTAGAATTCGGCGCAATAACTTTTGTTAATATAACTGCCTTCGACAAGGCACTACTTTCAGTCTCTAGCAACGGGACTCACTACAGTCCAGGTACACAGCACGCGTGCTACTGATTTATATTTGGTTATTAATGTGTATGCACACTCGTTCTACGGAGATTTTCACCTTGTTAAGATAATCTTTATTAGTTAACAGTCTGTCGATACTTTATCTGTATTTTTTGATAACTATAATTGTACTTGTGTAATGTTATTTGCACGGTTTTGTTTTGTTTTTGCTTTTTAAGTTCTTGAATATGGAGTTTAGCACCGACGGACTTTCACGAAAGCGATTAGAAAACTTATGAGTCTTTTAGTATCTTTAGGAACATTTTGCATGCGAAAAATTGCCTTAACGCAGCATCACAATCACGTCTATTTTTGATTCGGAGCAGAATTGTATAAACTTCCGCAACGTTATCGGTTAGTAGGCGTGAATACTCTGATGTTAAATGCACCAGACTGCCAGCAAAAGCACCCACCCACCTAAGTATTTAGCAGTGAGCTTCGTACATATATGTACATAGGTATGATGGCAACCTCTACTCTCTCACTTTCGGAAATGGTTTCGAGTCTATAAAGTCAAATATCTGCGTTCAACTATAAACAGTTTTCAATTTATATTGCCGCAAATGTAAATATGAAACAATTTAATGATCCATTTTTCGACGGCAGCCAGAAAACTGTAGCGCTTCTAGCGCCGGCAAGTGTACACAATTTGTTGGTTGTTAGATAGCATATCTATATACATACACATGTGTTGACTACAGGTTTTGTATTTATATAATTTTCATTGTTTTATCTATTGATCTTGTTTTTGCTTACTGAATTCAGCCAGTTGTTTATTTTTTTGTTCAATATTTTTCAAAAAATGTTGGTGGGTTTGTATTTATATACATATGTATATTGGAAATCTCCTTTTTTTCTTTGAATATTCCAATTTGTTTTAGTATTTCATCACCAAACCTGTAAGAATGAGTTAATGTTTAGCTCGTCTAGATATTTGAAGTGGTCACAAGGGCGATGGAAAATATGTTGATACATTTCCAATGGACTCAAGAATTTACCCGTGGTAAGGCATGCCTGTCGTAAGAGGCGACTAAAGTTCAATAGTTCCCGCGACAGTCGGGTCTTTATACCGGAACGATCCGGACTTTTATCCGGCCAGGACTGTCACTCCTGCAATATTCAACGAAAACCAATTCGGGGAATAATTTGCGGTTACAACAACAACAACAACTAACGCCAAATAATTTATTCCTTTAAATTCTCACAGGTAAGATTATACAAAAAGGATGTAGAGAATCTAGTATCGTAGTACAACTTCTGGTGGTTAAAATTGCTGTACTGTTTTTTTTTTTTCAATTTGACTTTAAAAAAAATAGCCCAATAATAGCACAAAAAGTCTGATGACCAGAAATGTACATACGTACACATACTACTACTACATAAGACTACTCTGCGCTCACATTTTTTATTTATAATTCATAATAATAAATAGCAAATTACCACTTACCGAAATTTGATACCAACCAAGCGGTGATCTTGATAAATGCGCCAGATTTCCAAATTTTTTCCTCGGTATGGGTGAACCTTTTCTGCGTGTGTTTTCCGGCTATAATTTGTTAAAATATTAATAAATGTGGGAGTAACATTTCATTTGTATGTGGTATGTGCTATATTCGCTTACCCTTGAAGTGCCGGGCATATCGCCCATATCTTCATCATCTTCCAAATGTGAACGTATGGCAATTTCAGCCATACGCCTTTTAATACCACCGGAATATTGTAGTAGTGATGGTTTAAAGCTGACACGACGTGTATTACGATCCTTACGCGGATTATCCCGCTCACGGTCACGTTCGCGTTCATCACGTTCTTAATTGTGAAATAGAGTTTAATGTTGAAAATAATGTACTTTTGTTAAACATAAGTTATACACACATGCACGTAGCCACTTACCTTCCAAATCATTGAATGCTACGAAACGTGAACCACTTGGTCCATTACGTCCCCCACGTTTTGGCATTTTATTAGACTTTTTTTTTAGTTTTTGCTTAAGTAGAATATTTTAATTGTTGCACTTTTCATAAATTGCACAAATGTGCGTAATAATTTAATTAAATTTTAAGAAAACAATGCAAAAATTTTGCAAAATGAAGTTTTCCTTCTCCTTTCTACAACTTTTTCTAGTTTGTGAAATAATTTGACAGCTCGCAGTGTACTGCCAGATGTGCAAAACTTTTTATTAACCCTTCGCATACATTTGCCAAACAGTTTGTCTTATTTTTAAAAGAAGAATGAATACGATGAGCGCATTTGAATAAAAACGGCAAGATTAAGACGAAAAAATGTTTGTGAATACGTATACATGAATTCTAAGCACATACCGCAGAAATATGCGTTCTTTACTTACACTAATCTACGGTTATGTTGGGAAAATATTCTATTTAAAACGGATTGGCAGCGCCGAACACTTAGCGGCATCTGTAGGAATTCACACAGTTTAGATTTTAGCGGTTTTTAGGCATTTAGAAGAGGAGTTCATAATTTGTATTGTAAAAAGGGAATTGCAAAAAAAAAAAAAATAAAAAAAAAAAATTAAAATAAAAATAATTTAAAAAAATAAAACGAATAAGAAAATATTGAAAATACAGTGCACTTACATTGTATCTATGAATTGAACTCGAGAATTTTTCAGTAAGAATGATAATTAAATTTCAAAGGCATTAAAGATATTTATTGTTAATGAAACAAATTTTGGAAATCGAAAAAACCTCATTTAAAAGTTTTTCACTTAAAAATGTTTTTTTTTTTTAATGTTCCTCATAAGAAATAATATCGACTGAAAGCTACTATCAATCCTAGTTAAAACTTTTGAATGAGCATAAAAATGTTTAGTTTTAATATTTTTAAAACTATTTTTGAATTCAACTAATTAATATTTTTTTAATTGTTATCAATGCAAAAGGTTTTCCATAATTTCAAATTACACGCCGGACTACCTAAATAGCTCACTCTTGTTTCTCACAGCGTAAAACAACCTCAATGAACTTCCATATGTACATATGTATGTGTGTATGTATGCATGTGCGTTGGTATGCGAGTGTCAAAACATTAGCATTGTTTGGAGCTCGGCTTGCTTTTGGCGACTTGCAGTTGAGCGCGAACAACGGTATGGAATGGATCGTGCCGAATGTCGTGTTGTTGTGGTGTGCTTTTTTCCGTTACGATTTACGCGTATATGATTTAATGAAAAGTGATTTGTTGTTGGCCAAACAAATAAGTACAAACAATAAAACCGAAAACAAAACATGTGCAATTGATTGTTGTTATTTGCTGTTGTAGTTATTAGCTATGTATGTATATAGTCGTTGGAGTAGTTATTGTTGTTGTTTGTTGGTACGTTCGCTTTAATATAATATTTAGTTTCAGAAGTTAGCAATTGTTTTTGTTTTAAATTATAATTTTGAATTAATGTATAAAATTATGACTACTTAATTTAAGCCAAAATACGACTCTGCATGTTCAAGCGACTCTGCATAATAATCATGCCGCCACTTCCGTTTTAATATCCGTTAAACTGTCAAATCGCATGAATATTAATTTAATGGCACCGACAGCGCGTGCATATTATAGAATATATAAAGAAAATTGAACTAATCGCCCCTCTATGCATAGCTAGCGCTAGCACATAAGTTTCTCCTAGCGAAATTTGCTTTTTGGCGCGCTTGTACATATTTAATTAACGCATCCAACAACAAAACCGTTTACATACGCTGTGTGGCTGCCAGCCGTTGAACGCGAAGTGGCAAATTTTGGTGATTTAAAGAATAGCAGCAAATGAAAGCCACAGAAATGGACCACAAAAAACGGAGAAACAAATTTCAAGTGTATCCAATATAAACATTAAACCAGACTTTAATGCATTAAATAAAAATGTATGTTCATAAAGAACTTAAATCAGCTGTAAAACATGTTGCTTTCATTTACTTGTTAAACTTGTCAACTGATACATACATACATACATATATATGTAAATATTTCCATACATATGTTTGTGTGTCAACAAGTTGATACATATGCATGTAAGTATGTTTGTATCTGAGCGATTGCTAAAACAACTTTGCAGCACAACCGGCTGTGCGCGTTCGATCACCTCCTGCGCGCGTGTATTGCCGTCTTTGATGCGACGCGGCATTGCGTTGGTGTTGTTACTGGTTGTTATTTTGAAACTCATGCAATATTTTCATAACTTTATGTTCTTGCTTATGCCAGCGCGAACAACGTGTCATGAAGTGAAAATCCAAAAACCAGCGTGAGCAAAAACAAACAACAATTCAATTCTTATGTTAGGTAGTATAAACGTACATACGTGAAACAGCAACAAATGTGTGCTGAAGAAGAGCCAAGCTAAATGCGGTGCTAGTAACCCCGCTTTGTGTTGTTAGCTTAATGGTGAAACGCGCCGCTGTCAACAGCTTATAGATACAAACATATATATGTATGTACAAACATATACATACATATGTATATATAATATATTTGTTTTTGCTGCAAGCGTACGTAGTAAATCAAGTGTGTGTCATTATAAATGAGCGCAAGCCAGTGTTTGGTGTTTGGTGATTGCCCATAAGCTTTCTTATACAAACATCCATGTATTTATGTATGTATACTAATACAGTTATTGCTTTAAATATGTCACTGGGTCGTTTTAAAGCAACGCGGCACTGCACCTTACCGCGCGGCGTGTGTCTAGCATGTACACTGGACACTGAAAACCTGATTTGCCGCGCTACACTGACAGCGAATAGAAACATTTGCGCGCTTTGAAATTTCGTTTATTTTTTTTTTTACTTTACTGTGTTCTTTGTTGGACAGTTTGCATGTGTAAATGGATTAGTAACAGCTTGATAGTTGAAAAAACAAAAACAGTGAAAAAATACAACAAAAGTGTTGACAGTATCTCTACAGGGCAAACGGCGACGGTGACGGCGACGGCGAGCGCACGTACATATGCGTTTTGTGTTTGTTCATACACAAGTGCATTTAAATAAATTGAAATCAAAGCAATTTAGTGAAATTCAAATGCCAGTGCGTTGTCTCACATTTCAAGCATTATGCTCCAATTAGCAATAACAACAAATAGTTTGACTTATATATAATTATTTCAGCCGCAGATTACAAACAAATATGTTTACTGTGCACTCAAACGTGCAAACAAAAAATAAACATAAAAATAAATAATAGTAAATAAATAATAAATAAGTAAATACGTGTGTATTTTTATACAAATGAAACTAAAGTGAAAGAGGCTAAAAATATGCTTTTATTAAAAAACAACAACCGCAATAAGTGCTCCCAACGCTACAAAACCAACAGCAACAATCAAAATATATTTAATAGCAATTAATGAGCAAACCGACAACCGCAACAGTAGCAACAACATTTTACATATCTACCAGTATAAACTTTCATATGTGGATACATTTGTACATAGGTATCTAACAATAATAATAACAACAAACACATCGACAATTACCTGCCAACAACGAAAATTAACTTAAACACACGTCAACGTTGCATTCACACATTTGTCAGCGCTTGCGCGCGCAACAAGCGCATCCGTGAGCGGTGCGCATTCGTACGCATAATGTTTGTACATATGTATGTATGCACGTACGTGCTTACCTTCGTCTAAGCTCTAGTTGTTGTTATTGTAGCACAGAATTTTTAAACCTATTTATTGCACTTTAAGCTGTTAATTGTTTCTGTTGCGTTAATATCTCAACAAAGTGGCTTTATTTACTCATCAGCGAATAGTGACTTCGGAGTACGCTTAGTGTTCGGTTCGTAACAGTGTTGTGTTGCTTTGCGAAAAAATCGAGTGAGCGGTTTTCAGATGTCGTGTTAACGCGTTCGATGCGCAGCGCCGGTAGTGTTGTTGTTATGAAGCGAATTACTTGTTAAGGCGTCAAATTCAGAGTTGCATAAAAAGAAAGAAAAAAAAAGTAAATAAAAAAAATAAAAAAAAAATTAAATAATTTATTACAGTTCAGTGAAAATATACATATTTATGTATATACATACATATGTACATATGTATTTATATTGTATGTCAGTTTGTGTATGTGAACGCTCGTAATAATAATAAAAATGAATCCAGCGCGAAGCTTAAATGCGATTACCTCGGTATTTACATAAATATACATATGTATGTAATTCACAAATATTTTATATGACGCGCAAATAGGTAAGAAAAAAATACAAATGTATACATACATACACATATAATATTACTTGTTAACAGTTATAAATAAATAAATGTTTTTTATTTTAGTCGCACTTTTCATTATAATTGAGTTAACATTTTATTTGTTGTATTTGTGCCGTTAAAATGAATATGCATTTTGAACTTTGCTTATGACAGTTATAGCATTTTGTTTGAAAATCTTGGCCTTTCGCTTCCTAATGACTTAATTAAATGAGCGAAGTTATTTCAGTTTTGATGTTATGATCGCTTTCTGACCTTTTTTAAAAAGTTTTTCAATTTATTTATAAAGATACAAGTTGGAGTGAAGAGTGCTGAGCACACTTAAGTCAGCACTGTGAGTAGTTGAAGCAGATTTCGGTGCATCTGCACTCGTGTCATAGTTCGGTTATGTGAAGTCTCTGTGCGAAGAGAGGTTAAAAAATCGCAATGCAGGTTATAATCATAATCATAATCCTTAGTATATTTGCTTTACAAAATTATCCCTTTGTGAATCCAGAAGCGATTTTCAGCCTAGCTCCTTCTCGAATTTATAGTTTTGCGTCTTGATGTTCTTTCGTCAAATGGAGGGACCGAGGGGCGAACGCAATAAGAAAATTGAACTTAATTTTTTATTTAAATAAATTTTCTATAACTTTTGGATGTTGGACGCACCAGGACTTCAACTCTGGTCTTCCGAATGACAGTACGTAATGCTTACCCTCTCGGCTACCGCGGCCACCAATTATTAAAACATGAATCCCTCATACGAGGCTTTGTTTTGGTCCCAAACTTAGCGATAGACTTCACAGCTCTGATCAACAAACGCTGCAAAAAGAACTCTGAAACCCGTCGTACGTCGTAGTGGCTCTACTTAAACTCTCTCTGTTATAGCTCTACACGGATTGGTTGCCGTTGCGTGACAAAGACGAAAGAGTAGGAATTGATTACAGTCTAGCAACTGCAACTACATTTCATTTTATTTCGAATAATATCACTTCTGCAATAGTTGAAGACTTGGCCTGTTAAGCGGTTTCTTTCCGCTAAGCGTCTGCTTGGAGGCGTCCAGATGTGATGACTGAAGATAATATTGTATTATGAGTGCATAAGTTCGTGCCCGATTCCGCTGAATGCCGTTCGAACCGTTTGAGAGTGGCGCTCGTGAAAGAAATATATACATATTATATGTCGTTGGAAAGGTGACAGTCCGAAATGTAAATCAAGCATAAAACAACTTCTGAGCTTGATGACGATGTTCTAAGAACTTTAGTTGCGAATAATTCACGTATTTCGACGGAAGAGGTTGCCAGTGAATTGAACGTCAACAAATCAACTGCGTTTCGTCGTTTAAAAAAGGTTGGGTACACTTTGAAGCTCGATACATGGGTGCCACATCAGTTGAGTGAAAAAAACAAAGTGGACCGTATGTCAACAGCAATTTCTTTGCTTCGACGGATCAAAAACGAACCTTTTTTGGATCGGCTCGTGACTGGTGATGAAAAATGGATCCTGTACAACAATGTTCAACGCAAAAGAACATGGAAACAGGCACACGAAGGGGCGGAACCGATGTCGAAAGGTGGATTGCATCCGATGAAGGTACTGCTGTGCATTTGGTGGGATATCCGAGGCGTGATCTATTTTGAGCTCTTGCCAGCTGGAGAAACGATCACTGCCAACAAGTATTGTCAGCAATTGGTCGAATTGAAGAAAGCAATTGATGAAAAACGTCCGATTTTGGCCAATCGCAAAGGAGTTCTTTTCCATCATGACAACGCCAGGCCACATGTTGCAAAACCGACCCTGGCCAAACTGAAGGAGATGAATTGGGAAATCATGCCGCATCCCCCATATTCACCCGACATTGCACCTTCTGATTATCATTTGTTTCGATCGCTGCAGAACAATTTGAATGGAAAAAAATTTAAAAATGTGGAAGACGTCAAAAACCACCTTGACACCTTTTTCAACGAGAAACCGCGCGATTTCTATGAATCAGGCATCCGTAAATTGGTTGAACGTTGGGAGTGGATGGCCGAACATGATGATGAATACATAATTGATTAATAAAAGCGCTTTCTTCAAAAAATTTAAATTTTAGTTTGCACTTGAAATCGGACACAAACTTATACACTCATCCATTTACCAGGCTCTGTAGCTCTTATCGAGTCTATCCTCTTTTTCTAATTTAGATCCTATGGCTAATTTCTCACATGAGACATTCGAAAGACATGGTTATGGATCCATAGAAAAATTCGAAAACCTTAACCTCGAAAGTGAGCGACTCTTGCCATATAAAACCAACTGCCACGTTCACTATGTCCTGAGATCTGATACCAGACTTCAGTTGTTTTACATTTTCCCATTAAGAATTCACCCCATTAAATTTTCTTGGCGAGTTAGATACAAATTGGGAGTCATGTCGCTGGTAGCTCCGTTGGACCATGGAGGTCTGAGATGGCCACGCAAAGTGGATGCTGGTGCAGAAGGTACAGTCGTGGCCCAACCTCTGTGGGTCTTAAAGCGTCAACCGATCTTAAGGTGACTCCATCCACCGCATTGAAAGAATGGTGGTGGAGGCGACAGCAGAAATAATCCATCGATCCAGGGTGGTGCTCAACACTGGCACTGATGAGAAGGATTCGAAGCAACTCTGCTCTAAGATGTTGGTTCACGGAAAAACGGGGTTAGACCGCCAAATGATGACACAGGAAAAGGAAGACTTTAATTTTTGAAGCCACCAGCTCAGTGAACGTTTTGACACAGTCGCTTTCGATAATCGCTAAATCAGCGGTCCTTTAGAGACTAACAGGTATTTTGAATGTATTTTTTGGAATATTTGCAATTTCCTCTTTCGGTTTATAGCTTTTGGTGTTCTATGAATATTCCAATATTCATTGCGCCAACTTAGCAATTAACGCTGTCTGGCAAACGGTTGTTAAAGAATTAGTGCATTTGTAATTATCGTAAATTTCAAAACTTTACACTCAACGCTTTAATATGCATTTACTACGCCGACAGTCAAAATCCAATTGTTTAAACATTTTTCACATTTTTTCTTTAAACTTTGTATGCTAATTTCGTAAGACACTTAAATGAATTAGTTTCCGAGCTTGGCCAAATCTGTTATTTGCTTGAAATAGAAAATTCTCCGAAAAGCTTATAGACTCGTCTCGGAACGAAAAAAAACATACGATCCCCTAAAGGCTCTTGTATCTCGCCCGGCAAAGTATGCCACATATTAGTGGGACTCGAGGAGGAAAATACCTAGTAGAGTAGTAAGTGACGCCCTTTGATAAGTGCAGACTTACGTGGTAAAAATTAACGGTTCAGTTCATTGAGGGTGGCCTCCATACTGTTTCGAATAATGCAGCTTTTGTTTCAACCGATCTAAACCCAACTGACTTCATTGTAGAAGAAATTAACAGGGGTTTACTCAAGGATTTTCTTAAAGAATCAAACGGAGATTGTTGTCGAAGAAAGGCGCATTAGTCTCTTAGTCACTAGCGGTATAAAAGCTCTACCAGCGGCAATTGGACTTATAAACTCGTTGTTTGTTAAAGTGGATGGTTGAAAAGGCACAGCGGCTACTTTTCGACGTACTTGTTTTCCGGATATGGCGTGTGGAGATCCGGTCTTTTAGGACACGCGTCGCCTGAAAGCGGAATAAGGCCATTCCACTTGTTCTACATTAGAATATTGACGTTATTATTCGGATATATCAAAGAAGGCAGAGGCATCGGTAGGAAACAAGGTCTTTCCGATTAGGATCTTAAAAACATCACTAGAGAAACGGAGTGGAAACACAATACAACATGACATTGAACCGGCGAGTAGGCCTCGGCGTTATTTAAACATTTTGTAAGAGCTCTTCTTCTTTCAACTGCAGCACAAAAGATACTGGAGTAGAGATTAGACTTCGCTAGTTACCTAAGCTCATTTTTACAACAGCAGAAGGGAAACTTCTTTCAACCGCAGTGCAAAAGGATTGAACTGGAAACCAGGTCTAGGTCTAGTTTTTGGAAAACCCGATAGAAACTTCACTTAACTGCAGTATAGAAGAGAATGAACTAGAGGCTAGGCATCGCCAGGTACCTACGGTACGGTCTGGTGACTAGGTTTTCCATCCGCAGCGAAAAACAGGCTGGCTACGAAAAACAGCTACCTAACTGAGTTCAACAGATGAAACTAGACAAACAATGGAGTAGAAGGTTCATTCAACGGTAGCTTGAAGGGAACTACGTGTAGACTGGAGAGTAGGTCTCGCTAGTTACCCAGCGAAGCTCATTATTTTTTTAAAAATGGCAAACAATTCACACGTCATTCGTGACGTCATTGGGTGCTTGTGTACTCATTGTTTGAGTGATTATTTTTTTTATTGGTAACCTGGCTGCGGTTATCGCAGTGACAGATGACAGCTGATTAAATGCTTTAACTGGGACTTCACACCTGTCATAGCGAGCTGAAATTGCTCATGAAAATAAAGGGAAGCTGTTTAAAATTAAAAAAAAATATTTTTACATATTTTCGTGTGTGCTTGGAAGTATTCAATTTATGTGACACCTGAGTGTTTTTATTTAATACACTTAAACATATTTAATTTTTTTCTACAATAAAATACTTTTTTTTATTGTTTTACTATACGCTTGGCTGATGCACTTAATTAAACAAAATAGCGAGTCATAAATTTAATCACAAATACGCTTTTTTAAACATATATATATATATGTATATATATACAATATATATATTTATTATATTACTGGAAAACTTATTGTGAGTAATTGCTTGGAATTTTTCGCAATAAAATACTTTTTGCAATATAACTTTGTACACACTTAAATAAATAATAAGACAAAAAAAACTGTTATCCATTGTACAATGCTGCTGGCGAATTTCCCTTAAGCTCTTTTTTCGCCGGCAATGGGCGGTTGAGTGATCGCGATAACCGTAATATACGCGTACGTCTCCCCGCAGAGTCACAAGACCTATATTAATTGTTG